TTCCATAAATCTTCCAGGTGCGGTTTTTCTGTGAGGGCTGGAATAATTTTAGACACACACCAGAATAATGAAGTACATACAGTATATGGGCAGCTTATGCAGCTTCAATGTTCTTGAGGGTTGAAAATACTTTTATTTTGTTCTTGCTAGGTTGTTGGTGGTATGCAGCAATCACATATTTTGCTGGAACAGCTGGAGTCTATTCCTTGACAGGAGTGGCTTTGATGAGATATGTGAAAACTTGTCACCAGCAAAAAGGTGAATTAAAAGCAATATGAAGTATACACATACAATCATGCAAAAATTTTCATGCTTTTTTTTTGTTTGTGCCCTTTGTCAAAGGAGATTGGTTGCAATCCAAGAGGGCAACTGTGAAAGCAATAGCTGTGATTTATGTCCTGGCTTTTGTCTGGACTGTTTTACCATGGTTGGGATGGGGCAGTTTTGAGGTGGAACCAAGTGGTTTGGCTTGCACACTCAACTGGTGGACTCAGGACACAGGTTAGCTTATGTTTACTGTACTGCATCATAATACACTGGGGCCCCAAGATGTGGACAGAATATTTTTCATGGGCCTTATTGTCCCTAAGTCAAAACATCCACATGTCCTACCTCATTTTTAACACGTTTTTATTAACTCACTTTCTTGTCCGCTTGTTTGTCCGGGTCAAATTTTGCAACTCAAATTTCGCTCACTTCCCAACTAGCTAGCAAGCTGAAACTTTCAGGATTGAAATAGATGCGCACCACGTTTAAGGTTATTTTTTCCTTTTTCAAAACGTGATTTTTTAGATTAATTTTTTAATCTACTAAATTTCCTCAGTGAGAATATTTTCAATTGGTTCTCCATGTATAGTAGATGAACAGTCAGGTAAAAGTCATCCTAACATTGAATAAAATATATTTTTCTCAACTCCAAGATGCAGAAAATGAATGTATGGAAGAAAGCCTCAGAGACTGATTTTTTGGCATCAGAAAGAGCTCAAGAAACAAAGAGCAATGAAGAAAAAGTCTTGATATATACCAATCACACCTGATGGAAAAAAACTTTAAAAAAGCACAAAATTAGCCTGTTTTTTTTTAATAATGAATTGGAGTAATTTTGCAATGAAATTCATTTTTAAATCATGTAAATAGGTCAAATTCCTCAAGAAACACAAGATTTTAAATTCTGCCAGGAACCTTGGAAAAGTGTGTGTATCTCAACATTCTCAAGTCACTGTCCAGATGTCAGAGGTAGATTTTTTCAAGGAAAAAGGGTTCCTAATAAGTCAAATCATATGTAGATTGGATTGTCTCACTGATGTAGACTTATGGCACATTGAGAGTATTTTCAAGAAATTGGACCACAAATGTAAAGAAAAGGCCAATGTACAAAAAATATTTTCATTGGTGGGGGAAAACTTACATGAGTATATAGTTAATGTTGCACAGAGGAAAACTTTCCAGATTTTTAAAAATGCTTGCATTTGAGAAGCCTGAAGCATTTATAATCTTGTTTTAAATAACCCAGGTCAAAGAGAGGTTAAATAATTGAAGCATTCCTATATACTAAAAGTTCTTCATTATACTATTTCTCAAAGGGATTGTGTACATTATTATTAATATAGTCTTCAATTTGCAGAAAGCATCAGGCATGAAATTATAAAAAGAAGGTTTTTTCTCAAGCACAATTTCTCATCTGTATATACATTCTCCTGTACACTGTGTGTATGTATGTATATAGGGGAGATTGCACAGCTGTTGCTGGCATGCACTTTTATCTGCTTTGTGCCTGTGGGTGCCATGGTGTATTCCTACTACCACATCCACCAGAGAGTTAGAACCAGTCGCAAGAATGTTTCCAGGCACAGAGGGACCTTGCCAGCTCTGGCATCAGCATCTAGTGCAGATGCAAATATCACCTTGGTGAGGATCTATATGCTGATTTCCTTTTTCCTCCTCTTTTTTTGGGGGGGGGGTCTCATGGGAGATGAAGGTTATTGATGCTGGGAAATGCTGTCTGCTTGAATTATGGTTGAAAATGTATACAAATGATATATGTATATACTGTATATATACATGTACATGCATGCATGCACAGGTTTCAGGGATTTTGTGTCTGGGGGTGATTGTGGCCTGGGTTCCTTCTGCTTGAATTATGGTTGAAAATGTATACAAATGATATATGTATATACTGTATATATACATGTACACATGCATGCATGCACAGGTTTCAGGGATTTTGTGTCTGGGGGTGATTGTGGCCTGGGTTCCATACACTGTCATATCCCTGGTGTCAGTTTTTGCTGGGAAGGAGTTTTTGCCTGTGAGGGCCACAGTGGTGCCACTGCTGCTGGCCAAGTCATCCCATGGATACAACCCTTTGATTTACTTTATGATGACCAAGGACAGGTAAGTCCACTGTATTGAGTCAGTATATATTAGACATGTCACTAATGGTGTTTACTATATAGGTTCATTTTGAGCATCATTCATCAGCATATGAAGTCTTGCTCATTTATAACAGATTAATTTTATCTTTGTTTTCAATTATAAATATTTCTGCAAATTCAAAATAATGTCAATGTTTCAAATTGTGTTTTTGCCAGACATGAATTTCAGATGTCATGACTCATGATCATCATAATATTGATAACATTTGAATGCTGGCTATAATGCAAGCACTTTAATGTACTCTAAACAGCTTACAATATCACAGGTTTTCATGCCTGAATTCAAAAAATGCAGACCATGTATGTTCTTTTAGTAAATTTTGATTTTGAATGATGAATGTCAGCATAAATTATGTAGCTTGAAATGTTTCATGAATGCCACACTGTATTCAATTGAAAATTAAACAAAGTATATTGCAGTGAAAAGGGAGGATTTGTTATGATAATGAGTTAATTTGTGCCCATGCAGCTTATAGTGAACAAATTGAAAAAGTTTATGTAATCCCTGCTTCTCTGATGAACATATGATTCCACATCCAACTTTGCTTGGAATTAAAAAATGAATATTATCATTGATGAGTTTATTTATAGATAAATATATACCTTCAAAGGGCAAAAGTTCCCCTTTCCATATAATCTCAGATTTGTACTGTCACCAGCATGCAGATCTCTATCTAAATGTACCCCTTCTAAGTTCCCTTCTTTCTTGTCAGGATCAGGGGGATCCAAAAGTGAACATATTATAATCAACAGGGGTGAAAGTTGGACCTGAATTAAAGTATAAAAGATATCCTGGGATAAAATCTGACAACCAAAGAAGAGGGCGAAAGTTTCAAGGGTTTGATGATGGATTTTGTTCCTAACTTGTCAGTTGTCAGTGCTGCACAACGGTTCCTTATATTTCCTTTTTTATTGTCTTTCTTCATATATATATAGCAAGAATGCCAGCACAGAACTTTTCTCCTCTGCAAATGGGTTTTATTGAACAGTATATGAGCACATGGAGGGAATCACTGATGAAAGCCCCCTTTATTATCACTCTGCTCATCTGCTGATAAATTTCATTCTTGGCTGAAAGATACAGGGTGCTCCCAAATAATTAGCATCAATTGATTGTTTTGTATCATGTGTTTTTTTATAATTAATACCATGTTTGTTTAAATTTCTGAGCAACCCTTGTGATAAATATCTTGGATCCAATGTTGAAAATCTATTTTTGTTTAGCACAGTATGAAGTATACCTACCTTCAAACTGTTGGCAGGTGTTTTTATGAATCTGAAGTACATACATATCAAAGAAACCATACATGCATCACAAGTTTTCATAATTTCAGTATACTCATATGGTTTCCTCCAAAAACATTTTTCTGTGTCTCCATATTTTTGGAATTTAAAGTAATCATAATCATAGTAGTCTTGGTATAATTATGTCAATTAATAAGGTGTTCTTGGACAACAGCAACATCACATGTATATTCAAATTTGCATAATTTAACAGATTCTTGCATGAATTAAGTCCATGGAAAATGTATGTTCTTCTGAAACATAGTAAAGCAATTTTACTTTTATGCCTTGAACATTGTATTTATATGTTGATGTAAGTAAAATAAAGGCTGAAAACATGTCTATGCATATATATACATAATTATAGACAGGTTCAGAATTTTTTAAAGATTGAAAAATTTAACTTTCATGTCTTGAAAATGTCTTGAACCATGATTGCACTCTCATCCTAGATTGTATAGGAAGTTATAAAGCATGTTCATATTACAATGATAAATGACATTCCCAATTGAAGTGCAGTATTTATTTGTGAATAGCTCACCAATTTATCCCCTTGCTGGTGATAGATCCATAGATAAGTAAGTTCTATATTTGCTGCTATGCACAGCATGCAAATAAGGTTCAAAAACTGTTTCTTACATCCCATCATCCAAGCCCCCCCCCCCGGGGGGGGGGGGGGGGGGGGGGGGGGGGGGACTCACCTCCTCTCCATATACAAATCATTCAAACACATTGCTGGTGGAGGATTTGGATTTCTATATGTCTTCTATATCCCAAGGGGAATCCTTGTGGATCCATTAATGGAACACAGATTTTTGGCTAAGAATGGATGTTGGAAGTCTGTTTGATTTTTTTTTCATGTGCATGATGTATGCTATATTCATGTTACTGTATGTATGTATATATATATATAGTATGTGTGTGTTTAGGAGAAGAAAGATCTGCAAGTGTTTGAATAACATGCTGGGATTCAGCACCACTCCTGGGAGAGATGATGAGGATCTTGAGGCTGATGAAAGGGGTGCCAATAATACAAACAGGATCCCTGGAATGGAAGGGGTTGCCAATGAATCCCTTGCATCAAGTCCGGGGCCACAAGAAATCAATGTCTCACCCAGCCCAGGGTTCCTGCAACCTTCTGTCACCATTGGAAGCTTCCTCACAAGTTGGTGTCCTTTATATATTCACATCATTTGTATGTTGAAATTAGAGGATCTTTGAGTTTGTGGTATAAACTGTATTGCTTATATACAGTACTGTGCAGATGAAAAAATGATGACATCAGACAATCTATTTAAAAAAAAGAAGAAACAAATTCAACAGATCAAAAAGGCAGGTTCAAAAATGTTGCCTTTACCTTCTAAAAAGTTTCTAAAAAGTACATAACATATTTTGATAAAACAAATAGGGGTTTCATGAGGCCTTATAAAAAGTTAAGGTTCAAAAACCTATTTATTTCTGAGGTTCTCTCCATATATCCAGTGCAACACTGTTCCCAAATAATTTGTAGTCCACAGATCAGTGCAGGTCCTCAGAATTTTTTTTATGGTGGTCTGCAGGAAATTTTCTTCAGATGTTCATCATAATAAATTTATCAAAAGTATAGTAATGAATATAAGTATAACATTTTTATCTGAAATTTCAGGAAGGCAATGGCATTTGAAATTATTTGATGGGGAAAAAATTGGCTTTTATCTTATGATAATGTTTCAGAAAAATAATTACCTAGCTGCAATTAATTATTTTAATTTCCATTCTGAGAAAACATTTTTTTCATCCCAACATTTTGAATTTTTTTAAACATTCCATGTACTGTAATACTATGCAGCCATGTCACATAATTCGTTCTTAACTTAATTATTGCAAAAAATCAGAAACTTTTTGAATAACAATCTCAAATATTGCTTTCAAACAAAACTTCTCCGAGTCTGCAAACATTTTAGGAAACTTTGCAGGTCAGCAAAAAATTTCATGGAAATATGCTGATCTGAAGGTTCAAAAAGTTTGGGAACACTGCAGCACAACATTATGGCATCAAATTGTCATTATTTGAACAATTTTCCCACATGATGAGAATTTTTCACCTGTCCTTGGCTTTATTATTATTGCAGCAAACTTTTACTGTGATAATTAAATGGTCACAAACTCATACCACAGCGCACTTTATATGTAAGGGCAAGAACAAGAATAATAAATTCAACACTGATTATTTATTTACATGTTTCTCATGCAGCAAAGCTTTCTTGATTGCATGCAGCAAATACATAATACTCCATGGGGCTCCATCATCACATGCAGACACTGCTGTTTAGCTCACCATTCTGCCCCCTGTCAAGTTGGCTGCCAAGATAGGAATGATACCATTAAGAATTAGAGAGATGAGAGAGAGATGTTTCTCAATGGCCCTCCTGTATATATATATATATATATATATTCACAACAATACAGGCAGTACTGCATGCTGGACCAAGGTCAGGAAGTGCATGATTCTTACCCCCATCAAGGAAGAGAATAAATTTAAGGCAAGACCATCAAGTGCTTCTTTCATGAATGTAGGGTTTATTATTGTACTACCATCTACCAGCAGGAGCAGCAGGGGTACAGGCAAATTATTTGCTGAGAAAATAAAATTCAAGATAAAAAATATATATGCTTCACAGCAGTATATTGTATATATGGTTGTCATGCAGAGATGAGATACAACTTACTGTTTAAACTTTCATCCAAAAAGAGAGAACTTTTCTGCATCTGCTGAATATTTCTTTACCCTTATTACATATTTAAAAAAACATATTTTTTTCTTGATGAAAGGGAAGAAAAATTAGGATCCAACTTTTTTATTCATCCTCATCCAGCAAGTCCAAGATGAACATACAGTATTTATGTAACACACTCAGTGTTCAGCAGAATAAGAGAGGAAAATGCTTCCATACTTTTCCTCCAGGAACTTTTCAAACAGGATGGATTTGTATCTCAGCATCTGCTGCTGGTACAAGCTCTTGACAGTCATTCATGAAATGATGGATAGGATGCTGCAACTTGGTACTATATAACTTTCTCACATATGCTCCTTGTCTGTGCTTGTGTCTTTTTATACAATAAAATCTTGTTACAAAAAACTCCCAGCAGGGACATGATAAAAAAATGTGTTACTGCATAATGAAAAATTTGCTGTATCGAGATACATGGTTTTTAATGCATTTTACACTTCAATTTTGTGGGACATTGATAAGAATAATTATAGTACATTAAAAAATTAATCTAAAAAACCATGTTTTTCAAGTAAGACTAAAAAGCACAAAAAAAATTAGTACATTAAAAAATTAATCTAAAAAACCACGTTTTCAAAAAGCAAAAAATAACCTTATCATCAGTTTCTAAGCTATCCTGAAAGTTTTAGCTTGCTAGCTAGTCGGGAAGTGAGCAAAATTTGAGTTGCAAAATTTGATCCGGACAAACAAACGGACAAGAAAGCGAGTTAATAAAAACGTGTTAAAAATAGTGCGAAGTGCTTAATTCTTCCAGCACTACAAATAATTTAAGAATTGTATTAGTCATGATTTCTAGATCTCTTCAATAAAATGAAGAGGAAAATATTGGAATAAGCACAATAATACTGTACTGTACAGTTACTTCTCCCTTTATTGAATCTGTTTTTTACTCAAATGCAATATGCCCCAAAAATATAATATCAAACAAAAGTTTATACATGAGGGAAAAATACTTTTTTTCATTCTCAATCAACTTATTCATTTAAATACAATCATAACTTTTCTTTTGAACAGAGCAAAGTTCTTTCTAACATGCTGCTATTCATATCTGAATGAAAGGCCTACATTCTCAAATGGAACTATATATGAGACTTTCTGCAAAAATTTTTATGTTGTGTATTTTTTTAACATAAAATGTTGTCTATATGGAAAGTTTTGTTTGATGAAGTTGGAATAGTGCACCTGTTCATTATTGTGTCAAATTTTCTGTAATTTATCAAATAATCTCTTCAGCCTTAATATATGCACAGTTGAATTTATTTGGACCAAAAAATTCTAACCAAGATTATATTATACAGCCTAAAATTAGTTTTTTATTACAATGAAGGGGCCTCAGGAACTTCTGGGGCAAAAAAAATGCATAGTAACAAAGTTTTTCTGTACAGCAGTTGAACCTTGATAACTTAATTGAACTTCCCCAACCCAATTTTTTGTTCAAGTCCTGGTCTGGAGTCCCATTGAAACAATGCATTAAAAACGCCCCAACTCAAAGTTGGTTTCCCCCAAAACTCTGTCAGTCAAATTTTCTGAGGCTTTTTGGCTATCGTCATTTCCTTAAAATATGAAAGAGAAAATCAATCAAACAAATGAACTTACTCATCTTGAAATGAAGTGCAAGAGTAATTGCACAAATGAACCCCTGACGCCAAGTTCAGGCAAGCTGCAAACTCAGTAAGATGCAATTTTAGGTCCAGAATATCCTCATAATTTACAATGTCCCACAATTTTTCACTTTTCCTTGCAGCAAAAATGTTTCTTTCCTGAACTCAAAACCTCCCCAAATCAATTTTTTTTTCTGTTGAATGGTCCCTAGAAATTTGACTGAGAGAGGTTCAACTGTACTTTACAGTATGTACATCTGCAGGGTCTTCAGCATCAGGAAGCCATGATGAAATGCAGGACATTCCAGTTGGTGAGGAGGGCATGATGATGGGCATAGTGACTATTTGTCAGACAGTGGGATCCTCAAGCTGTCAGATTGGAGGCAGGGGATCTCTTGAGTTCCCAGCTTGATTGTATCTGATCCTCAAATGAAGCATCTGTGCATGAGCTGTGGGCTGTCTCAAGGCCAATACTGCAGGTTTCCAGCAAATTGGATCTCTATATATTCATTCATCACATGAGTTCTCACTTGTCTTTGGATGGAAAAATATGTGTGTGCAACTATCAGTGGATCATTTCTTACTCTTAGCATGTGTCATTTGTTTTGTGTGGAATTTGATGAAAATGAAAGTGTCCTACTTGCAACAATGGTTTTGAAGTGACTTTCAATTAGGTACAGCAGTCATTATTGTAAACTACAGTACTGAGTATACTTGGCAGGATTTTCATTTCAGGTACATCATTTTCAAACTACTGTATAGCCACAGAATCTTTTATTGCATTTTTATAATGCAACATTTCAAGAACTCTCAAGTTTTTTCGCTTGATTTGATTTGTGGATAACCCCAGCCTGCATACAAATACAGTATCAGTTTCACAGTACTGCACAGCAGAAGTTATGTTTTCCTTGAACTTGTCACGCTGCAATTACTGTAGTGGTCTATACTTCGCCTTCTGACTTTTCAAAAGTTGATTTGATCACAGGGGTTTCCAACAAAATACTTGTCAATGCAGTGGAACTTCAGTAACTGAAACCAAACAGTAAAGTTGTGGCAATGCGATATCTTTCAGCAAAACAAAAAGAGTAGTCAACACCTGAAACTGAACAGGCTTTTAAATATCAACATTTTCATTCAAATTTCAAATAAAATGGCAAGAAATGTATCAATTGAAATGTTCATAATAATAATAAAATATAAATTGCAAATGCAGGAATGTGAAACATTGCACTGCAATACTGCACTGCGCTGCTTTGCATTGCACATAATCTTAGTGATGCAGGTTCAAGTGGGTATAGATGTCACTGGCAGAAATTCCATGAAATTTCTCATCATGATGCCAAGTTCGCACATTGGTATGCTTGCATGAACCTTTCATCATCAAGAGTGGAGGGATGTAAGAGCACTCAGGAGAGATCTCATTTCTCAAAACAATACAGGATGCAGAAGAATTAAGGGAGTTGTGACCTCAATTTAACTGATCCCATGACCTCCTCATATAATGAACTGATGCAATCTAGCCTCAGTTCAGAATTTTGAAAATCAAAAAGAAGAAAAGAGAATAAATTTCTGAATTTTCCCTTCATGATCCATCATCATCAGGAAGATGAAGAAAAACAATGAATTAAAATCTCTCTCAAGTTTTCCCAATTAGATTTTCCATTTTTGTACTAAATGAAACTGAATAAGTATTTGAATACAAATATCATGAAAGAGAGAATAAATCTGTTCCAGTTCCTCGTTTCGAAAATCTCGACTGAGGCTAGCCCACATTGATTTGCGATTTTATTTTATTTCTCGTTTCAATATTATTTTTGGATTCTCCCAGAAAAGCTAGAGATTCCTTGTTTTTTCAAATCCGAAATTTTTGTTTCAAAATCCAGACTAGCCCAGATTTACGATGGGTTCCTCGTAAACACGGTCACAACTCCATTCCATCCGCAGCTCTCCCTTTGCGCAAAATTTGAAAAAAAAATTGATCATTCACACGAAGTTGGTTTGAGTCGCGGAGTTTCATTCCACCGACTCGCCGGCAACGCATCAAAAATCGAGAAAAATCACAAACCCCGGCGCAAACAAGAAAAAAAAAACAAGTTTTCAATTCCCTGCAGTTGCTGCTGACACGACGTCGACGTCTGCTTTCTCCTCGCCGACGTCAGCAGCACCGCCAACGACGTCGTCGTCGTCGTCATCATCATCATCGTCGTCTTCGTCTTCCGTGCACTCGTCACTATCATTCACTTCCTCCTGCTCGCCCGGAACCGGAAGCTCCTCCTCTTCCATTTCTCCATTCTCCGGATGCTTCTCGGTCGCTCCCTTGTTGTTGCTGCTGCTGTTGTTGTTGGGCAACAACTCGTCGTCGTCCTCGTCGTCGTCGTCCAGAGTCACAGTTTGTCGTGACTCACCAGGCGCCCACAACGTCACGGCGCCCTTTTCGCCGCCAGTCAACAATATTTCACTCTGTAGAGATGACAAAACTCAAAATAAATAACTTCTGAATTTCATTGAAAATCAAGGGAAATATCTCAGCAAGGGAAAAATCAAGGCAGTCTGATAATCCCTTCTTCCATTTCGATGCCCGATCATGTCGAACACAATTTATACATTCGCATTTCGAGCTGGAATTACGTCCGTCAGCACCACGCCAGTGATCTAATTCTAATACACTCCAGCGACATCTATGTTACATTAGAGAAAAACATGGGAGTCCGGGACATCAAAGAAGCATTCTCGTGGCCTCAAAATGGAAAATAGATATGGGGAAGCAGAAAAACTTCATTCATTCATGAAAACAAAATGAGTATTTCAATGGCAAAGACTCGTTACTTTTCAAATGAAAGTACAGTATAGCATCAAGATGGACACCTTGCCAAAATTTCCAAAAAACGGAAAAATTTGTATTTGATTTTTCATTTGCATATATCTTGAACAAATCGAGCTATTTCATGAAAATTCAAAATAAGTATTTCAATCAATTGTCTCTAAATTCGCGATCAAAAATATGGTACATTTAAAAGTCACTTCCTTTTTTCTTTTGCTTTTCATACCAAAAAAGGTCAGGTTTTGAGGGGGTTTTTCTTATACACAATTATTTCCTGCATTGTGAATATGAGAAAAACTTTTGGTAAACTTTTTCCAAATGTTGAAATAAGCAAGGGAACCAATTGAATACAAAACCCCTTGAAATCTTTGAGAAAACTAGATCCAACATGCACATGTCCCAACACAGAGACCAGGTCAAAGAACAAATTACAAGTAAGTCTACATCTTGGGGCCCTACTTCATGTTGCTGGCCTAATCTGAACTAACGCTTTGATTGAATGGATAAAATAAAATTTTTCAGAAACCTAAACTGGAACCTATGGCGCCCCAAATCTGTCTTCCATGATTCAGGCAAAGGGTTTTCAATTGGAATAAAATTGGCAAATTCCAATTGCAGTCTGCCAAGAAATTTGTTCCCCAATCAAAATTTCAATCGCAAGGAACCAATTTTTCAATTCCTTGATGACAATTGCCATGGATACATTCTCTTTTTTTTTATTGCCCAGTTGCAATTACAATCGTAATCTCAACTCTTCTCAGCAATTTTGTTAATAGATGTAGAGAGTACCAAAGAAAATATACAGTATTCAAAACAATACTTTGGCATCATATGAAAGCAATCTGTTCTCATTCCCTTTGGATTCTCACCAGACAAAAAACAAACAAACAGACAACATCTGCTTCAGCGAAGGAATAGAGTAAAGTAATAAACTGAATGACTAAAGCAAACTGGCCTTCCTACGATAATATTCAATGAACGAATGCCCGAACACTTTCATTCAAGCAACATTACCACTAAAAAATACTTTGATGAGTTTCTGCCTGTGCCAACCTCTCTGAAGTGGGAAGCCATGAAAAAATCAATTCACTGCACCTCCTGTGACCTCCACCACCTTGCAACTCACAAAGTTAATGAACAAAGTTGATCATTTTTCATTGAAAAATGATACAAGCAGCAGTTATTTGGCACTGGTTGAAATTATGATTCCATCAGTTTTACCCCAATTGCAAGTACAATCTAAAGCCCCCTCAAAAATTATTGCAATGCCTACAAAATTACGTAGCCCAATCAAAATCACAATGCTTGTGATTGGGCCAAGTAGTGGGGTATTCAACAACCCTGTTCAGGCGACACCTACGTTACGCGCCGAAATGTATCCCTTGTAAACAAAAGAATCCCAACTATTGTTCTCTCGACAGCTGCAGTAACAATGATCACTCCCGGGTTCTACCTAGGAAACTGGGGGGAAAAAGAACCAAAAAGAAAGAAGAATCCTTCAATATGAAAGAAGGAGGATCGAGAGAGCCTTCCCCCCACTTTGGCAAGTTCAAGTCCGTTGACGCGAACCGGAAACTTTCCGGATCTCTCGTCGAATGAATAATCTCTCCGCCTGGCCCTGGGATCAATAGGTCACAAGACGGAAGCACAGAGTCAAACACACACACACACACACACTAACCTGAGCGAAGTAGTGTGTACAACGGATGATCTGGCACTCGCCCTTGTTGTGCGGCAACACGGCATACGGCCTCAGTTCCCCGTCCTTTACCTTCAACAGCCGCGAACAACCACTGCGAGGGGGGGGGGGGGGGGGGGAAAAAANGGGGGGGGGGGGGGGGGGGGGGGGGGGGGGGGGGGGGGGGGAAGAAGAAGGCATATACAGTGTATCAGAAAATCAAATTTGCATGGACACACAGAGTTGTTTGCGAAAAAACTTTTGCACCCCAAGTCAGGACGGAAGCAGACAGACAATCGCGCACTTTTTCTGCTCTCTCTCTCTCTCAAACACACACACACACACACTGAAGTTAAGGTGCGAGATTCTCCTTTGACCCTACAGTGATAAAGCATGCTTTTCATTTTCCATTTCATTTTTCACTGACGATATTTAACCCACAGTTGTTCGCAATTTTTCCGAAATTTTCCTTTTCGTTCCCAGTTTCTTTTTTTGATCCCCAAGTATTTCAAAGTAATAAGGAACATTTGAAAACTTTCGAAACGACAGTGCATCCAAAATGAGTTGAATCAATTGTGTGAAACACAACAAAAGCCTGAGTCTAAAAAAAGTCTGAAACAACTCTCCAATATCTCTTCTTTTTTTATTAATGCCCAACTCTGGCTTCTGGCATTTTTCAGGTGAGTGTTGCTTGAAGTGAGCCAAAAGGCAGATACAGTTCATTCAAGTATGAATACAGTGCAGTCTTGACTTACAAACTTAATCTGTTCCTGAGAAAAGTTTGTTAGCCAAATCACGGTTTCCCTCAAGAAAGTAGACTAAGTAGAGGAATAATTTCAATTGGTTCCAGAACCTTGAAAGTGCCCATGAAAATCAAGAAAATTACAGTATGCTTGAAAATTCTCAACACTACTAAAATGAAAGGAATTTTCTAAAGAAAATATAAAAGAAACAGTAATTCAGGGGCTGCACAGTTCTCTTCTGACCTATGCATCTGTGAAAAGAGAAAATCCTGTCAAGACAATCTGTGCAGTGCTATATTTACTTTTAAAATAATTTTAAACCACATTTGCAATGAGAACACTGTAATGAAATGAAAGCAGATTGAGAGAATTATCAAGAAAGAATTCAGCAAAAATAAAACCCAAAGGTTAAAATAAATTGAAAATGATGTAAAATTATTTTACTTTACTGTACTTGGTAATGCAAGCCTCAATAATTGTACTAAAATAAGAAAAATCATGGGGAAATATTGGCTGCTGATCCCAGGGAGAGGGAATAGGGGCAGACATTTAGGGGGGGTGGTTCACATTCAAATGCACTGAAGTTTGTAAGCTGGATCAGGGTTTGTTAGCTAGGGCAGCTGAGGCCCAAATGCAAAGTTTTTAAGCTGGAAAATTACGAACTTCGGACTGGCAGCCAGGGCGTTCATAAGACAAGACCCCAATGTTAACAAAATCCAGCTGAACCTCGACACTCAAGTCGAAATGAACCTTCCAAAGCCCATTGAAAATTTTTCGAGCGACATCTACTAGATCACGAAACGAGAAAACGTAATTCCGTAAAAATAGTGTTCATAACGAACAACTAAGGTTCGAGAAAAACTAATGAATCGACTATCTAACTATTGAATTTGGAATTCAACCCCCACGAAGCATACATAGATGTACTTTTAAAAAAATTAAATTGGCATACAAAAAAAAAATTAAAAAAAAAAAAAACGAAGAGGGGAATACGGTATTATCAAACGCACGTTTTGGCAGATTTCGATCCGGCGACGACAATGAGTTCAGCGGCGTCGTAGGCCTTGTGCACGTCCGCCACATACGTGTGATCCACCGACAGGCGTTGCATGGCCGAGCAGATGTCGTCGCGCGAGAAGCGGGCAAACGGCGCCACTCCCGACCGCTCCCACAACTCCACGTCTTCGTTGTGCGTGAGGGCGGCCAGTGTGGACCAGGCCGAGTCGCCGCCAAACCAACGCAGGCGCCGCACAGAGCATCCAGTGTTGAGCACGTAAGTGAGCGCCTCTTCTTCCGCGCTGCGCTCCAGGTCGAAAATGTTGATGAGACCGTCCACAGATGTCGTTGCTAGCGTGTCTCCTTCGTTCGGGTGGAATTGCACCTGCATTTCATTCAATTTTTTTCCAAAACCGGAGGAATTTTCAAAAGAGAGAAAGAGAAATTAGGACACAAATCCGAAAAAAAAAGAGAAGGAATTCTTTTTCATGGAAGTTAAAAATTCTATCCCCGAGTGAATGAACTACGATGTCTCACGCTATAGAAATACTGTACATTCGAAGCCCTCAAGGAGAATCAGCGTTACTTTTGCAATTTTTTACATTTTCGAGATGCGTGGAATATTAAGCAATCGATTTTTTCGTGCGCATACAAGTCAATCCTTGCATGTCAATTTAAAATTCAAAGATATCTGCGCGTCTCACATGTGTGATGTCGTCTCCGTGCGAGTACCAATACCCGCCGAGTAATTTGCACGCCCGTATGTCCCAGAAGAGAAGGTAGGTGTCGCCCATCAACTGCTCCGTGCCCAAGCACACAATTCTGTCCTGGCAATCCACGTCGAACGTTGTCGCGTGCTTGAACCTGCTCGGATTTCTCTTCATTTCCGACGCTGCAAAAAAAGAAAAGCAAAAAATAATTGAATGATTTTTATTTTTAATGGAGTCCACGCCTCAGTTAATAACCCGAACAGGACTCTTTTCTCACCGAAATAAGTGTGAACACAAGAGTAGGGCTTCGTGCGCAAGTCCCATAACCGAACTGCTCCTTCTCGGCCACCAGTGAACAAAACTTGCGGTTTCGTGTTCGCAAACCTAAGATGAAAAATTAATCAAATTATTCATGATTTTCAAAATTCACGATCAATTTGATGAGAGTTCAAAATCAAGAAAGTGTAACCTCACGAATCTTAACCAAACATAGTTTCAAGAGTGAGAAAATTTCAAGACGACGACGTCTATTCAAAAGCAACAACAAAATCCGAAACGACAGGAAATTTCAATTACATTACTGTAGTACTTCACACACCCTCTTCTCAGCCCTTAACGTTTTTTTTTTTCGGCGCTTTACGTTAATTCACGTAAAAACGAACAAAATCCCTCAAACCTCTCTATGTGGATTTTTTCTCAAATACCTGACTGAATTGCTTCAGGAACAATTCATTAAGAGCCTATTTACCTCAAAGGCTTTTCCTTCAAACCTCCATAACTCTAAGTTCCAAGAGGCTTTTTTCGAGTGACATTTTCTTGACACAGGAAAGAGAAAAGCAATAAAAATGTAACTTGATTTGTTTCGACAAGAAGTGAAAGACTAATAGACCATTGCCTCCAAGTTCAGCATCTTTTGAACTCATTCGAGGACCGATTTCAGGCCCAGAATATCACCAATTACAATTTCCTGTATTTTTTCACGCTTTCCCCCTACCAAAAATGTTCGTTTTTTTCTTCCAACTCGAATTTCGTTCGCTGGTTCCTTCAAGTTGGACTCTGAGAGATTTGACTGCACTGTAAACTGTACTCACTTCACACCGGCAATCGAATCCTGGTGTCCCTTCAACTTGGCAATCAAGGCGAGTCTTTCCGCGTGGTAAATGTTGACGCAGTGATTCGAAATGCCCGCAGCAATCAACGCATCCGGGTCGTCACTGGAAAGTCAAGCAACAAAAATCACCAAATGATGAAAACTCCAAGTTTCTCGAAATGAAATTAAACGACAAAAAAAACTAAAACCAACCAGCCAATTCATACAAAATGATCACTCTTGTACTGTACACGCACGCAAACCTATGAAGTCCATTAACCGAGAGACACCAGTCTCGATACAATCATCTCACCTATTGGCATCCGCGTGTAAAACGTAGAGGTCTTCCTTGGCACCGCCGACATTCGTGGACCTGGCCGCGTGGAAAGGAGTATTGAACAAGGCACTCAGCTCCTTGGCACTGCACAGGTCTTCGTCTTCCTCTTCCCCGGTTCGGGACCGCTTCATTTCTCGCTCCCGCGCGGCGGCGTTCAACTTCCGCTTCCCGCGCTTGATGCCCGAGAAGAAAGGGCGGCGGGACTCGTCGTCAGAGTCACTCGACGACGACTCGTCATCCGAGTCGGAGGACGATGACGACGATGAACTACTGCTGCTTTTACTCCTGCTTCATCGCCAGTGAAAAATGATAATAAATAAATAAATAAATATGCTTCCGGAAAATGCTATAATTTATTCTATCGTTGCACAAGAAGAAAATAACGGCGAAGCGATTTGAGAATCAGTTATAATCTTATATTGTAAACTAGTGTTTCCCAACCCGTCTGGTCCTCAGAATTTGTTTTGCTGGTCCACGGGAAATAATGAATTTATCAAAAATAGTGTTTTCTTCATCCGAAATTCGGGAAGGGAAATGGCAGTTGAAATTATCTTGATGAAAAATAAAAGTTGGCTTTTCTTCCATAATAACGCTTCAGACAAATTTGCAACTGCTGAAATATATTATTTCAACTTTCCACTCCGAGAAACCTTTCTTCAAGCACACTTCCAAGTTTTTTGAAGACATTCCACTATAGCTTCATTGGTTCTTGCAAAAAAGTAGAAACTTTTTACAACAAAACTTTTCTGAACTTGCATAAAATTGTATGGAACATTGCCGGTCCGCAAAAAATGGTTTGGAATTTTTCCCGGCCGTGGGCCTAAAAAAAAGGTTAGGTAACACTGTTATGAATGACACACAAATGGAGTAAAATCCCGTCACAAAACCATTGGGACCATTGGGAAATAGCTTCGACATAACGAAAAATTCGTCATGAAACACCATAGCTCATTCAACATTGTGGCTATTTGGCAAGGACATAAAAACTTCTTCCTTGCAATCGATTATCCGTTATAACTCGATTCCACAGCATTTTATTTTCAGTCAAATAGAAACACTTGTTTTTTCGAATGCAAGAGATCTCATATCTTGCTCGTTATTCTTGAACCTAACGTCTACTCCTTTTTCGCGTTCGTGTCTCCATCTCTCCGTTTTTTTTTTTTTTTTTTACGAAATTTCAAATATAGTACTCACGTCGACTTGTTGACGACAGGCGCCGGGCCGACGGCATTCTGCTGCTTCTTCTTGGCACTCAGCATCTCCACAGTGGCGGTTTTCCGCGCCGCCTTCTCCTCTTCGGACGTGGACGAGGCGGCTTCGTCGTCGTCGGAGACGGACGACGACGAGTACGACGAGGACGCAGACGAATCGTCGCTTTCTTCGTCACTGGAATACGCGTGTTCTTTCCGCAACGTGTTTCGGATCAGGTTTTGCGGCAAACTGTTGACGGCTGCTTTGGACATCTCACGCTTGGCACGTCGCTTTTCTCGCTTCGTCATCACCTGTTGCAAATTCCGATCAGTCAGTTAGCTAATAAGGCACATTCACCCCTACATACGGACAATTCACCTTACGGACACTTGCAACTTTGAAAAAAAAAAATTCATCCAGACACTTTTCAAACACTTCTAGAAAAAGTTTAAAAATATTATTACTCACAACTTGGATACCTCTTGAACAAATTGAGCTATTTTTATTCCATAGAATTCTTGAAAAATTTCATCATAAAGTTACTCAAATGCATTTTCAAAAAGTGGCTAATCGTGTGCATTTCCCAGAGTTTCTTCCATCATGTGTGCTCAGTGTGGAGAAAATTGTTCTTTGCTCATCGTGCTCGTTTTGATGCCGAAAGATCAGACTTTCGTTTAGGTTTCTTCTGCACAATCATTGTCTGCCTCTTGGGATACAGAAAAAAAATTTATTCAAATTTTTCAGGGGATTCATTCATATTTTTTATGATCAGGAGAACAAAATTAACCAATTTAACATGTTCCCGTTGAATTCTATGGGAAAGCATGAACTGACATACGGAAAACGGTCCAAGAACCAATTACGTCCGCGTCTCGGGGCTCCAGTGTATTCTCAATTTCGAAAAAGAAAACTTGAGCAATATTCGGTTTCTTCTCTCTTTTTTTCGGAATTCTTTTCCACCTGATGAGAAAATTATTTTGAGCAAGAATTGAAACAGCGGCTAGCAAATGATAATACAGTATACCACTCCTGAAAAAATAAATCGAGACAATCTCTGTCCATCGAACCCCGAGGATCCCTTTTCCCGGTGACGTCAGTAATTCATCCGACAGCTAAGAATATCAAACCATTCAATTTTCAAAAATCGTGAGTTCGTACCTTCGACGGAAGAGCGACGCCGTTTTGCGGCGGGAAGGAAAACTGTCTCTGGAGATGCTGCTGCTGTTGATGTTGCTGCTGCTGTTGGTGGTGGTGGTAATAGTTGGCAAACGGCGGCGCCGATGGCGGCGGAGACACATAAGCTGGCGCACCCGTGGATCCTGCGACGAATCCCTCCGACATGGTCCTCCCGTGTTGCTGATAATGCCCACCACTACCACGTCCTCCCACTGCAGCAGCCCCAGCACCTGCAGCACCAGGTGCTGGCATTCTGTAGTAGTTCTGATAATAAGCCTGGGCATAGGCGTTGTTGTACGGCTGGTTGTAGGCCATGTGGGGTGCGGGATGCCGCATCCCGGCTCCGTACCCGTAGGCATCGGACACAGCCGGGATCGTCGTTTCCTTGGCGAGTTTAGGCACACCCACGCCTCCCGAGGAATACTCCGGGGCAGACGGCTTCTCCGTCTTCTTCAGAAACGGGTTCGGAAGTTTCTTAGGCATCGTATTTTTTTTCTCTTTTGTTCTTCCACAATCAACACACGACACTTCTATCAAGGATGAAAAAAAAAAATAGAAGACGAATCTTCCCTTTTTTCACTGGCACGATATTTGTCTGCAAGGAAATTTAAAAAAACGTCGTGATGAGAAATGAAAAAGAAAATTTTCTACACGATAATTCGCAATATTATAAATTCGTGAGCGCTCAACCCCTGGGTGGCGCAGTTTCATGACGCAATGTTCTGTGATGAAAGCGTACATCACAATCCTTTTCTAAAAAACAAATAATTTGCTATCACCCACAAAAATTTTAATGTTGCACCATAATTACTCAAGAACCACGAACAATTTTTTTTTTTTAAATATGACGGAAAAAATAGGGTATTCATCACATGCAGGTATAACATTTAAAAAATTTGTGTCACCTTTTCGGGGCGAATCATCCCTGCGGAATCTTTGAACAATTTCAATGAATAATTTAGAATCGAAACAATGGAAAAGTCACATTAAATTTCATTAAACTCCAAATTAAAGTATGAATTTCATAGGCAATTAGGTCAATTTTTAGTTCTGAAGAATAGGGTGCGTATCTCACTCAAGGATACATTTTCATCAAACTTTTAAGCGAAAAAATGCAGGTCCTTCAAGGTCCAAGGGCACGTGTTACTCTAGTAGATATGGTTCTACAATAAAGCTATGACCACACAGAATAATCGAATTTGAGTCACACAAAAGCAGAAAGCTGACAAGAAGAGAAAAATCTCATAATATCAGCAGAGATTCAAGATTCAAATCTGACGCACTGCTAATCCTCTACACGAACACCAACAGAATACTTTTCCTGAAGATTACCCCATTTTTTCAGACAATTTCAAACACACCATTTTCTTCAACGAATTTCTCCCTACCTTTTAGATCGAAAGAAATCGTTTCTTCCCGATAAGGACACTTTTTTCTCGATCAGCGTGGAATTCTCGCTCTCCCAGGGGAAGAACATAAAACCTACGCATTTAAACGACAATACACAAGCTTTAAATGTTATCAATACACACAAAACACAGATATTGCGCCATCCAGTGCTCCGAAACTTAACAAATCTCACGCGTTAACAAAATTTGGTGAAAAAATTAACTCCCGTTTCAATCACATACGACCGATTCACGTTCGATAAACCAGGCACAACGAGGACCGAAAAACTCAGGCCAGGAATTCAATTCCATCGCGTGATTTTTCGAATCTGCTACTGAAAATGCAACCCTTCGTGCAAATGTCGGCAGGTGTCACCCCCACGGCTGCCAGCTCTCCTTTCACATTGTCGAAATAGGCGGGGTCTGGATATCCAAAAGGCTGCCAAATCATTCAGACAGAAACGAAAGGCTTTAGAGTTAACAAGCGCAACAAAAATAATATATTAAATTTTCATAACTCACTCCAGGATACATGCTGGTCTTATGATGGATTCCTGTCCATGTGACGACCGATTTCCTTCCAGTCGTGGCTGACGTTCCGACAGTGAAAATCAACCTCCTTTCGAACGCTATCCGGAACAGGTTGCAGATCTGGAAGAGTCAAAGGAAAACATAAACAAACACTTGACCTTGATCTTAGAAATCTGCAGCAGTTTACGATTATATTTTTCACATTCAATCAAACTGAAATTACGGTAACCCAAACTCAACGAAGGTTCCGAAATGCAAATAAAAATCTGTTTAAGAAAATTCTGCTAATAACATCATCAGAGCGAAAAGAACCAATGAAAAAAACCACAACTAACCTCTTTTCCTTCATGGTTGTACGGCAAATATGCAACCCGTGGGAAATTATCCGCCGAAAACTGATGACCTGGCTCCGGATGCGTGTCATCCTGCACGAACGTTGAATTCGGAAAGCTGCAATTATGTATCAAAAAGACAAAATTTAACTTCACAATTTTCAACGGGCACATCGGAAAAATACCAGCATCACAAAAATGTGTTCGGTGTCTGAGAAAGAGGGCGTAAAAACTTGAATAATTCAAAATTAATGTTACGTAAAGATGAGACAGAAATAATTTCTTGCTCTGACGATGCCACGATGTCGGTACAGTAAATTATCCGAATCGCCACGTCATTCCTCCTCCAAACACTGGTTCTCAGTCAGAACCAAAAATTTCGCAAACCTCGCTCAAAGAGACACAGTAACAAAATAACACCTGTAGTAGATGTAAATCGTGGGACAGGAGAATCCATAAATAGATTCTTTTCGCAGAAGAATCTGCATTCTGGCTCCAATTGGCTGATTCCCAGTTCTTATTCCAGTCACGTTGTTACACGTCGGACATTGCAAGAAATCCTAAAATCGAATCAAATCTGAAACGAAATCCTTCGCGAACAAAATCGGCTAAAATCACTCACATTTCTACCCAATAACATGAGGGCGCAGTTGTGATGAATTAAATGGTCGCATTCCAACCGCAAAACCGCCGCTTTAGAGCCTCCTTCGTCGTACGGGGATTGATGAACGAAGTTTTCCAAACAAATCAAACAAGTTCCATCTAATACCGACGAATTTCGCTGAGATAACAAGCTTCCAAATTTTCTTAAATCTGGATGAACACTGGCAATGGACATTTTTCAAAATATCGTCCTGCAAAATTGAAACAAAATAATATAATTTCAATTAAGACATAGAATGTAAAAATAAAAAGTCAGCCAATAACGTTGCCATTTTTCATAACAGTACAAAGTTATTCAAAATAAAATACAGTATTCACACCCGTTTTTTGTTCAGGACTTCGGCTTTCCTTTTGGCTCACTTGGGTTTTCTTCCACGACCGCCACCACCTCCACGAGGTTTTTTCGCATTCTTGTTCTTCTGAATTTCTTCAGCCTGAATTTACACAATTTCATTCATTACATGGAATCCTCCCGACTGAAAATAAAATTACGAACCTTTCGCTTGGTTGCGTTATTTGATGTCGAAACCACCGTGAAAAACGAGTCCATTCGTTGTTGAACGGATCCAGTCCGACCTTTCAGCAACTTTTTGGCTCCTGAACGAACGCGGTCCTCAGCGAAGGATTTTTCATTCGCCAAGAACTCAACAAGACCTTCGATATCCGGATCTTGCCACTTCATCTGCATCAAACACGAGGAACTTGAAAATAAAATAAAGATTCACATGCATGAAGTGTACTCACAGATACAGTTTCAGGATCGGATACTTCTGGTTGCTGGAACAATTCTCGGGCACGTGCAAAGGGCCATTCTTCGGGAACTGGATACTTTTGCTTGTCAATGATCTCCAAAATTTTCTCGATACTTCTGTGCTCTTTGATTAACTCCACGGCACGCTTAGGTCCAACACCACGGATCGAGCCGCAGTAATCACATCCAAGAAGGATGCATAAATCTATGAACTGCGCACGAAGTTTCATCACGTCGATCATTCCTTCAAAATAAAAAAGACTTACCTCGTCATGGCTAAGGTTCAGGCTATCCAAAACTTTGGCCAAATGGAACTCCTTGATCGGCATCTTCCGGGCTTCAGAAAACGTCATGTGCCTCAACATCACATTAGATCCGAACGTGAGACTGTCCATATCTTCTGTAGCTACAGCGAAAACTTTCCCGGCCTTAACTAGTGCCGCACACTGAGCTTCGGCTTCACAGGGTGCTTCGATGTAAGGTATACCCATCAGAGTAAGCAACTTCTTGCACTCGTCGTTGTGTTGCTTGGTGACTTTAACCAGGCGACGAGTGAGTTTGTTCACTTCTTCTTCGTTTCCGGCTTCTGCGGCTTCCTTCAAGGCTTTTTCCGTTTCATCGCGACGTTCTTGACGTTTCGCCAATTCTCCACCTTTCATATCCGGCGGTTTGCCGTCAAAGACGTACACTGGTTTAATGCCGTTCTCAACCATGCGGATTGTGCGATAGAACATTCCCATGAGGTGACTCGTTGTCTCGCCATCGGCTGTCGTTAACTGAACTCCTTGCTGACGAACCGCAATTAGAAACTGATAGATGCTCATGGAAGCATCGATGGCAATTTTCCTACCTGGAATAATCCGCCGACATAAGTTTCGCTCCACTGAAAATTCACGAATTACACAATGCACAAATCACTCACCAAAATAATTCTTCATTTCATTCTCCTTCACCGCTGAAGGAGCATAGTCAGCTATCAGCATGGCTAATCCTTTAATTCCCATATTGAATTCCTTTCAAAACACCCTTTCACTCCAGCGACCAGATCATAATGACAACCTGAAAGCGCCGAAAACACGAGTCCATCAATTGTGATTCAGAAATCCGCTAATAATGTACTAACGTACTTGATCATATACCCATAGCGTACACATCGCCCAACCACCTCCACACCATTGCTAACACAGCATGAATGCAATAAGGTTGTGAATAAGAAAGACCTCTCTTCAGGAACACATCTATTCCTTTCACTCATCAAGTAATATACCCATAGCGTACACATCGCCCAACCACCTCCACACCATTGCTAACACAGCATGAATGCAATAAGGTTGTGAATAAGAAAGACCTCTCTTCAGGAACACATCTATTCCTTTCACTCATCAAGTAATACAATAGTCAGTAGTACGAGGTTAAGAGGCAAGTGCCTTGGTCAAGAGCTGGAGTTCCAGTGATTAGGTTCTCCCTCCGTCGAGCCCTCTGCCAGTGCTGGTTTCTCTGATGTTGCGATAAAGGTTGGACCTTCGGGTGGGATGCGCGACGTTTGGTCTTGCGCCAGAACTGTCCCCTACATGTCTCTTATGTTGAGGGGGACCCTTACTATACAAGTATACAGGAAGATTCCTGGTGGTGTCAGATGAGTAGTCTGGAAAAGCAGTTTGAGCATCACAGCACAAGTAAATCAACTCAGTGGTCTGTTCCAGCAAATTTTCTCTGAAGTGTGAGTATTTCACTTAAAACATGAATTTATAGAGAGGAAACTTCGAAGGACACTGAAGAAATAGGGTTGGGGTCTTAGGAGGTCACTGAGAGGGATGGTCATCAAGGATGATTCTGCTGTTCAGGGTTTTTATTGGGGGTTGTAATCCCTTTGCAGCGTTGTCCTTGCAGAGGATTATAAGTGTTGGCTTCTTGTCCTTGTGATGTTTATCTTGTGAGTGCAAAATACCTTCCTATATACAGTACAAAATTGTATTTCCCAATTTCCCTGGGGGTGGGACTTCCTCCAACAATCTCGTCAATTATTTCCGTCAGGGTTTCCCAAGTGAGGGGTACATTATCCCAAGAGATGTGCTTTAAGACGACCAGATAGTTTAAAGTGCCATCTGTCCCTTGGGGGTCGACACATTTCGATAATTAAACAGAATGTAAGTGAAATCCAGGGTTATAACTCACCAGCATGGATCAATACGTAAATACTGTAAAATCTTCACAAAACATGAGATTTGTACCAATAACATTGGTACAGTGTTATTGTTAACGCTTCATAATTGAAGGGTTTGCAGTAGCCACAGAAAGATTCTCTGCTGGATACACATATAGATAGAACCCAGCAATCCTGCAGACATATTTGTTGGGGAGAGAATCCACCCACACCCATCATCAGAAGTGAACACACAGCGGCATGCAGCTTCCAATAATTGAAAGGAGCCAAGAGCTTCATGAAAACCAAGTTCTTTATTCCAAAACAGCACAAAAATACAGATGGTGTCATTTCTTCAATATGAATTTAAATCCGGGTGCCAGATACACTGCAAAGCAAAAAAAAAATGTTGCTTAGAAAAACCAAGGAAACAAACATTTTGCATAACACAGCCAACTCACCAATATTGTACAGGCTGTTGCAAAACTGTGATACTTGGGCGACATCTTGATACACTGTAGTGGACCAGGATGCTCATAAGACACAAATGGCACTTTGGAACCTGTGTCTGCATTCCAGCAATGCACCTTCCCATCCACTGAGCCTGTGTTCAAAAATAAAAACAACAACTCCTGAAAACTATACACTAACTGAACAAGGACCACATTTTGTCTCACTTACCACTGAATACATAGTTCGAATCAGTCGAAAATGAGGCTTCCAACGGAATCCCTTTGTTGTTCAAATGCCCCTATTAGAAAAGAAGTCATATGAATCATTTACAATACTGTATTGTACAATATACATAATAACAACAAAGATCTTACAGAGAGGGTCAACAAAGGTGCTCCAGTAAACGCATGGTAGTGAGACTACTACCTCCGTAAACACATCTAGTTGTCGAACCGCGGTAATAACGACTAAAAGTACGGTCGGGTTAGTGTTGAACAAAGAGAACCTTGGTTGCTCCATGTTTTACCTGGGATGTTAAGATGATCGTGATGAAAAAGAGTGCTGATGCCTTCGGGAATAACGAATGAATTGAAAGCACACCTTCTCATAAGCCCTGAGATCAAAAAACTTGAGCGTATCCTTGTAACCAATAGCAAATACAACCCCTTCAGGGTCGAAAGTACCAATAGGTCTATTTGGCATTTCCACACTTCCAATGCAGTCCCTTTGCTTCAAGTCCCACAGTTTCAACGTTCTGTCATCTGACAAAGTCATGAAAGTGTCATCCAAAGGTGACATTATGATTCCAGTTATCCTGCAAACATCACATTCAAATTAACCCATTAAACAAATAACATATTTGTTTTTTAATTATGCATAAGCAGAAAAATTGTAAAACTCACTTCTTTGTATGGCCTGAGAAGCATCTGATGTACTTGTACTCCTTCACATTCAAGTACCTCACCGCATCTGGAAAGAAAAAACACGACTAAAAAAGATGCATAAAAAACTTGTCCCAGTTATACTTGAAAATCATTACTTCTAATATTCTCATAAGCGTAATAAGAGGTCAGAGCTTCCCCCCCCCCCCCATTAGGGTTTAAGATTCAGGATTTCTTTCAGAATTGTCAACACTATACAGTATCTTTCAGCTCACTGCATGTCAAGAAATGAAGACTTTCCTGTTACGGACAGAATTTTCCACTTATTTCAGAGTGCTGAAAAGTTTTCTTGATCGCTACAAAAGTGAAATTTTGTTACTGGAAATAATATTTCATCTTTCACATCTTGTGAAAATTAAATTTTATGGAGGATCCTGGTCCTTTTGAAATGAATAAATAAAAACTTTTTAAAATTCACACAAAATGCAGATGTCCAGGCAGGCGNGAGCTTCATGAAAACCAAGTTCTTTATTCCAAAACAGCACAAAAATACAGATGGTGTCATTTCTTCAATATGAATTTAAATCCGGGTGCCAGATACACTGCAAAGCAAAAAAAAAATGTTGCTTAGAAAAACCAAGGAAACAAACATTTTGCATAACACAGCCAACTCACCAATATTGTACAGGCTGTTGCAAAACTGTGATACTTGGGCGACATCTTGATACACTGTAGTGGACCAGGATGCTCATAAGACACAAATGGCACTTTGGAACCTGTGTCTGCATTCCAGCAATGCACCTTCCCATCCACTGAGCCTGTGTTCAAAAATAAAACAACAACTCCTGAAAACTATACACTAACTGAACAAGGACCACATTTTGTCTCACTTACCACTGAATACATAGTTCGAATCAGTCGAAAATGAGGCTTCCAACGGAATCCCTTTGTTGTTCAAATGCCCCTATTAGAAAAGAAGTCATATGAATCATTTACAATACTGTATTGTACAATATACATAATAACAACAAAGATCTTACAGAGAGGGTCAACAAAGGTGCTCCAGTAAACGCATCCATCACTCTGATGATGGAGGCATTTGTGTAGATCAACAGCTTGGCGCCATTATTGCTGATTTTCATGCCAGCCCAATCACAACTTGTTTCTCTTGGAACCAACGAGGTACAAAATGGACCCTACAATAGATGATCGTGATGAAAAAGAGTGCTGATGGCTTCGGAAATAACGAATGAATTGAAATCACACCTTCTCATAAGCCCTGAGATCAAAAAACTTGAGCGTATCCTTGTAACCAATAGCAAATACAACCCCTTCAGGGTCGAAAGTACCAATAGGTCTATTTGGCATTTCCACACTTCCAACGCAGTCCCTTTGCTTCAAGTCCCACAGTTTCAACGTTCTGTCATCTGACAAAGTCATGAAAGTGTCATCCAAAGGTGACATTATGATTCCAGTTATCCTGCAAACATCACATTCAAATTACACCATTAAACAAATAACAAACAGTATTTGTTTTTCAATTCTGTATAAGCATACAAATTTTGAAACTCACTTCTTTGTATGGCCTGAGAAGCATCTGATGTACTTGTACTCCTTCACATTCAAGTACCTCACCGCATCTGGAAAGAAAAAACACGACTAAACAAGATGCATACAAAACTTGTTCCAGTTATACTTGAAAATCATTACTTCTAATGTTCTCATAAGTGTAATAAGAGGTCAGAGCTTCCCCCCATGAGGGTTTAAGATTCAGGATTTCTTTCAGAATTTTCAACACTACAGTATCTTTCAGTTCACTGATTGTCAAGAAATGAAGACTTTCCTCGTTATGGACAAAATTTTCCACTTATATCAGAGTGCTTAAAATTTTTCATGATCGCTACAAAAGTGAAATTTTGTCACTGGAAATAATATTTCATCTTTCACATCTTGTGAAAATTAAATTTTATGGAGGATCCTGGTCCTTTTGAAATGAATAAATAAAAACTTTTTAAAATTCACACAAAATGCAGATGTCCAGGCAGGCGAAGCTTATTGTCACACATAGACGGACAAATGCGATTCAAACTTCAAAGGCATCTCAAAATTTATTTAAATGTTCAAAAGCTTCAAAAAATATTTGAAAGCCCACTTTGAAAAATCGTACGAATTTCTGTATATAGTATTAAAAAAGATTCCGCCTCAAGGGACTGACAAAAATTATGCAACAATGAACCTTCTTACACTGCTACAAGAACAAAAAGAAGTCAAACCCAACGTCACTTTCCGGGAATTCAGGCAGGTGTCGCCTGAATCGGCCACCATTAACCTCGAACAAAACCTGCACCATTTCTCACCAGGGGGAAACCAGAATTTACAGGAAAAAGGTCAGCGATATTCATGCATAATAACCACATACAAAATCTTTCTTGAATTAAAAACTGAGCAGTCGACAAAAAATAAAAATACAAACGGAATCAGACGACGGAAAAAGTCTTACCATCTCCGCCTCTTCTGGATGCATGGAGAACCCCGTGAATACTGTGCGTGTAAGTCACATGCTCGGCACCGTAACGTTTCGAAGGCAGCTTCAGAGTCACCCTTTTCGAAAATTAAACAAAAGAAAAAACCCCAAAAATTTTCAAAAACAGCTTAACACGAAATTCATAAATAAACTCACTGTCCCACAATAGAATCGAACAACGTGATTCTGTCGTCGTCCGAACTGCAAACCAGAAAACTGCCGTCATCCGAATAACACACGCTGTTGATCTTCTCTCCAAAGTCTTCGATCACGGCAGAGGTTTTATAAGACCGGATCACGTCCTCTGTCAAATCCATCCTCACTCACAAACAAGTAAAATCCCAGCGTGATCATTTACTGAAAAGACCAGGAAAACACGTTTAAACCAAAATTACTCAAAATGCCGCGAAGAAATAATTTCAAGGCGCTGATGCTTCCACAACTTTGTCGTTCATTGTCCGATTCTCATGCATCACAAAACAACACAGCAATTGGGCACTTAACGCTTGAAAAAATGGTCAAAAATACATCGAATCCCACTCTCTTTCTTTTTCTTTTCCATGAGTTCTGAAGGGCAAGAAAATATAGCGTTTTTGATCAATTTGGGCAAAAATTCGAAATGATCCTCTGGAAGTCAAGTTTTCATGAAACATATGCAATCCGAAAGATTCTTGATAACTTTTTCTCGCGGAAGTTTCTCCGGAAAGCCATTAAGGATTAAAAAAAAAAAGATTTTATCACGTATTTTCGGGAACACCGCGGTAACAATTAGTAAAAAATGTTTCTGAAGAGGCATTTTATTCGCGATCACGCCTATTCGAAAAATATTTACATCGAAATGCAATTTTCGTTGATTGCGCACTTCGTTCAAGTTTTGGAAACCCTTGTTCAATTTCTCGGGTTTTAGAAATACTTTACAGTTTCCTTGAGACGTTACATTCTTCGTATGAGGTGTTCAAAAAGTTACAGCGCAAATATAAATTCCAGATATTCATTGTGCCTCGATTTCCAGAGCTTTAAATTCTGTATTCATCCCATTAAGAAGGCAGAATTCTCACAGTAAATCCCTAAAATCCAATAAGCAAGAAACATGTGTAAGAGATAAATCATAATTGATTCACAAACATTTTACTGCAGCCTGAAAAATCAGGAGCACAAACGAAAATACGTTCATGAATAAAGTTTAAAATTACTGTACAGTAATATGCTTTTGTGACAGCCGGCGACATCTACCCAACCCGATAACAATTTTCATTTACATGCCCAAAGTAGATGCATAGCAACTTCTTGGACACCTCAATGTTCACATTAATGTCTTCATTGCTTTTCTTTCTTTTTTTTTTGAGCAGGTATTAGGCAAATCAGTAGATAATATCGTAACCCAGCAACTTCGGAGTCTTGAGCGCAGCTGGTGGCAAGTGCATGTATTCCCCAATGTCCCAAGTGAATACCCTGAGTCCCACGTAACCCCCGTATCCCGGGTAGCCCTTGTGGTAGAGACCGATACCCTTGAGCCACGTCAACCCCGTTGGAGCGACGTCTTGAATATCCAAGAAAGGAATCGTGGTTTGAGCAGCGTCTTTCCGCCTGGAGGTCGGTCCAAAGTTGACAAACTGGTTCGGGAGACTGTCTATAGTTGATCGAATCGGGGATTTGGTCGGCAAGTCCACGTCTTCCAACAACAACTCGGATCGGGGGTCGGTTTCCGATGCCTCCGTCGACGTCGAGAACATCCAGTAGCTTTCGTTCGCCATCAATCTCCCTGCAAATACAGGCAACCCTCGGTTTATTGTCACACTCACATAGTGCCAAAAATTCCCTCCAATGTTTATTTTTCTCGAAGTTAAACCTCGATTTAGTGCCAGCTCACTTAAAGCCACAAATAACTTTTTTTTGTCCTGAATGAAAAATAGGCCGAATTCGCAGGAATTGATGCAGATTTCCAGATGTCATTAGGTGTGACTGAGAACCCCATTCCCATGCTCAAAATAATTGTTAAAAGTTCAATTTTTGAATTTACCTGTAATTAAGTGGTCTCATTTGAATGTCCTCCACAGCGAAGGGCATAATCAATAACTGGGTTAGTCTCCTTAAAATAAAATTGAAAATCACATCATCTGACTTCGGAATTGTGTACTTTCATTGAAAGGTTGGCACGAAACTGCTGAAAACAGTTCCACCCTTTTACTTGTCCCAATTTGTGCAAAAATTGAATAATACTTTCTGTACTATGACATACAGAACATTCAAATGCAGTGATATCAGTTCACTAGAGCCTCAAATTATCGTGTGTGTCTTCCTTTTTTTTTTTTTTAATAAAACAGACTCCATGTACGAACAATTCTTCACAAAAGCCCATTTTACCCATAGTGAAAGCCCTCGAATGATTTTTTTTTTCTGATTTAATACACTCGATTTAGGGCCAAAATGATGTGCCAGGACAAACGACGGCACTAAATCAGGGTTCAACTGTAAATTTCAGGTTTTTAAATTCATTAAAGAAAGAAAAAAAAAACCAGGCAGGTGGATCCAAGTCTGACCTGAGTCAAATTGAACAGGAGTGACCTTGATGGCGAGTCCCAGGTGACCCCCGAGCTTCCTAAACTTGACGCCAGTCACCACGTGGCCCTTGGGCGCCACAATGTCGTCAAAATCCAACGCTCTTTCCTCCCACGTCAATTTCATATAGTCCTCATTCTCCAGCCCTTCTTCGACCCGCATGTGATTCACCTTCTTCCACTCGTGGTTCAAGTGCACGTCCAGGCCAGGCAGCGCCTTGGATTGCTGAATCCGCACATGAACGATGCCCTGGATCTGCTCCAACTTGACCCCGGTCACCACCTTGCCATTTTCCACGTCCGACACGACTTCCCTGAGGCTGAAGTAACGATGCGACGTCGGGGACGCGTCGTCGCAGAGACAAAAGCAGTAGGAGCAGTGGACGAACCAACGCCACCAACTGTCCACCTTTTGCGACTTGATGCACACGTTCGACTTGGAACCCATCAGCTGACCGTCTTCGTATTCCACGTAACCGTACCTTTACAAACAATGAGAATAACAAAAAAGGTTTCTATTGAATCCCTCGAAAAAAAAAAATTTTTTAATCGACGTACATTATACTTCCATTGCTATACGTGCTCTGGTTCTTTCTTCACCAATTACTGACATCCCTCGTTTAATGATCAATGTAACATTTGATTTAATTATTATTTAGCATAAGCCCCCAACATAGAAATAATTGGAATACATTTCAGGCCGAAGTCGGCTTCGTGAAAAGGTTGATGACAATTAGGAATAGCCAGAATTCGAATAAAGAAATGCAGGCTTTCCATGCCTAAAACCATTCTCAAAATAATAATACCGTAGTTACGGGGAATATATAAGCACTCCTGTAAATCTTAAATTTAGAGTTCACGTGCAATCAATCGCGTGAATAATGTGACCCAAGAAAAAAAAAAAGAATTACCTTCTATAAGGTTTCGGAGACAGACAAACCCAGGCGTCGGCGTTGACAAACTGACAATCAAAAATCCTCCCGTTACAAGTTCGTTGAGCGTTGCAAAATCGCTGCTTGGGATTCTCGAAACAACTTTCTCGCTTTGCGGGGAAACTGTTTCCAAAGTCCGAACAGGTCTGGGTACAGCTTCCTTCGCGGTTCATGTCCACTTCATTCTCAATGTAACCCTGGAGCAGCTCGGTGACGGCAGTGAACGTCTTGTTCTCCACGTGCTCGTGCGGGTCGCAACGCCAAAAACTAGTGCTCAAATTCCGCACAACTCTGCTGGCCACTTCCAACTGTCCCTTCACTCGTTCGTCGTGGGCTCTCAAGGCCAGAGCAGCTTCTCTGAAAAAATAAATTTCATAGAGCGTGATGAAATATTTATCCGAGTTTCAGCCGTGGGATGCATTCTAAAACATTACTTGAAAAACGTCATTTGTCAAAAATTTTCTTCTATCGCAGACGTGACATTGTAAACCAATAGTTACGATGCGCTCTAACTCAGTGTTCCCCAACCATTCAGGGCCCGCGGACTGGCAAATTTCGGTGAACCGGCAAAGTTTCAATTTTCGCAGACTCAAAAAGGGTTTGCTTGAAAAAATTCAAGGTATTTTAAGTTCCTGCTTTCTTTGTGCGTGCAAACATCAAGTTAAGAACCAATGAAGCAGCTGCATAGTCTAATGTCTTCAAAAAAGTAGGGCTTGAAGAAAGCTTTCTCAGATTGAAAAATTAAAATCATTCACTTCAGCAGGTAAAAATTCGTCTAAAGCATTATTTTTGGAGAAAAAACAACTATTATTTTTCATCGGATAATTTCAACTACCGTTGCCTTCCTGAAATTTCAGATGAAGATACCAGACTTCATTGCTACTTGTCAAGAATTTATTATGCCGGAGAAAATTTCCCGCGGACCAGCAAAAAAACTTCTGCTGATTAGCGCCGATCCGCGGACCACGGGTTGGGGTACACTGCTCTAGCTCGAAGTATTCAGCCTCCAACTTCTCTATCTATTTCCATGAATCCACGCATTTTTTTCCTCCCAATAAGTTTCATTCATTCATTTGCTACCAAACATGAAAAACTAACTTCATATAAGATCCTTTCCCGTATTCTCGCAGGAGGATCCACGAGAACTGAGTCATCGCAAAGCCCTTCGTTTCAGTCGCAGCAATAAGCTTGTACAATCCGTACGCGTATTGTTGAGCAGTTTGGTTCAAGTCGCAGATCTCTTGAAGATTCTAAACGGTGAAGAAACGCAGCGTATTTTACACGTCTTTCAAATGTAGTCGAACCTCTTCAATTAGAACTTCAAGGAGAAAGCAAACAATTTGAATTAGGAAAACATGCATTTCTGCTATGGATAAAAAAAAAAAGAATCACAGAGAATTGTAATCGGTGATATCCTAGCCTAGGCCTTAAATTGCTACTTAAATGAGTCGAAGGGATGATGAATTTGGAGCCAAGGGTTAATTTACTCAATGAGTCTTTCTTTCGAAACAAATCAAGTAAAATTTTTATTGCTTTTCTCTTTCTTGCAATGATAAAATAACCAGAAAATTTGATTATTAGAGGTTTGAGGGGAAAAGCCTTCGAGTTGATGAGGTTTTTGATGCATTCTTCCGAAGCGGATTCAGAAAGCGAAAAGAAAAAATATCCACGGCATAGACAAGGTAAAAATTCGGGAGATGAACCTGAAGTAAGTCGTCGAGATGATCAAAGATCCCTTTTCGAAAGCTGCTCGACCAAGGAGGAATGACGAGGTTGTTGATCTGCCAGAGCAAGGAATGAACAGACTCCGGGTGATGAGACACCACGGATTCCGCCAAGTCCTCCAAAGTACTCTTTTCCAGTTCGTCGGAAATGTTCAGGTACTGCTGCCATCTTTCATACAAAGCCCACACCGGTCTCGCATACGTCTGACAAATAAAAAAGGGGGTATTATACAATGTTGATTCATCGTGACACAATAAAGCTGTCTCCTACACTTTTCCAGAAGAAAAGTTTAGAACCTTCCTTCGTAGGAAAATTTTCATAAATATCAAATTTCCCCAGGTATTTGAAAAATGGCGCAGAAAATCCGCATAGGATGAATGATTCATGAGTTCTGAAAATTTTTGACAAAAAAAAATATTCAACAGAGTTTCAACAATTTCAAACTTTCGATTTTACTGTACTCGCATAGCCCTTCATTTGGCAAAACTTCAAAGCTGTTGAACGCAGTCTTAGCCAATTTCAATGCATTTCTTCACGCGGTATACTCGATAATCGAAACAGTGTCGAAAATTAAAAATTGCGTTAGTTGATCAAGCTGCTCCCTGACGACGGATATGAGGCTGTCACTGTCAACAAAATCAGTCTCTTTGAGATCATTCTTCCTCGTCGGGCACAGCCAGAATTACATTTTTTTCGTGTGTTTCATTGAATTTCTTTAGTCGAACATTTTTGTCACGGAAATTTCTTTTTTCCGAAAACAAATATCATTAAAAAAATTAATTGCACCATGTGACTTCTGGCTCTTCACGACGGTGAAGACTGACGTGAAAGAGATTGATTTTGAGGACAGTGACAGCCTCATTCCCGTCATTAGAATTTTTTTTTAACGAATATTTTCGAAATTTGTGAACCGACTCTCGCATCCTTACCTGCAAAGTGTCGAACTGAGTTTCCCACCGAACCGTCGCAGGCGTGACGTCGTGGAGACTCCTTAAAGCTTCCTGAATTCCGAGCAANATAGACAAGGTAAAAATTCGGGAGATGAACCTGAAGTAAGTCGTCGAGATGATCAAAGATCCCTTTTCGAAAGCTGCTCGACCAAGGAGGAATGACGAGGTTGTTGATCTGCCAGAGCAAGGAATGAACAGACTCCGGGTGATGAGACACCACGGATTCCGCCAAGTCCTCCAAAGTACTCTTTTCCAGTTCGTCGGAAATGTTCAGGTACTGCTGCCATCTTTCATACAAAGCCCACACCGGTCTCGCATACGTCTGACAAATAAAAAAGGGGATATTATACAATGTTGATCCATCGTGACACAATAAAGCGTCTACTAAACTCTTCCAGAGGAAAAAGTTCAGACCCTTCGAAGGAAAATTTTCATAAATATCAAATTTCCCCAGGTATTTGAAAAATGGCGCAGAAAATCCGCATAGGATGACATGATTCATAAGTTCTGAAAATTTTTGAAAAAAAAAAAATATCCAACAGAGTTTCAACAATTTCACACTTTCGATTTTACTGTACTCGCATAGCCCTTCATTTGGCAAAACTTCAAAACTGTTAAACTCAGTCTTAGCCGATTTCAATGCATTTCTTCACGCGGTATACTCGATAATCGAAACAGTGTCAAAAATTAAAAATTGCGTTAGTTGATCAAGCTGCTCTCTGACGACGGAAATGAGGCTGTCACTGTCAACAAAATCAGTCTCTTTGAGATCATTCTTCCTCGTCGGGCACCTGCCAGAATTAATTTTTTTTCGTGTGCGTCATTGAATTTCTTTAGTCGAACATTTTTGTCACGGAAATTTCTTTTTTCCGAAAACAAATTTCATTAAAAAAATCAATTGCACCATGTGACTTCTGGCTCTTCACGACGGTGAAGACTGACGTGAAAGAGATTGATTTTGAGGACAGTGACAGCCTCATTCCCGTCATTAGAAAAAAAAAATTGCTTATAAAAGCTTTAAACACTTGGCTGAGAGCGTAGGAATGGACGTTTCACAGCTTGACTCAAAGGGTGGCTTGGCAGCGTCCGCACTGCAGCACCTCTGAGGAATTTCGAAGGACAATTCCGAGCAAGGTAACATCAAGCGCATCGAGTCGTTCCGTGACTTGTTGGAACTTTTTCAACACTTTCCTGTCGCGCCCGAGATCCAAAGCGGGATACGATTCCACGTTATTCACGTTCTCGGGCGAAAACTCCGTCCATAGGTTGAAAATCATTTCGGTCACTTGTTGACCCAAGCTGATCACAGATAGAACGCTTCCTGGGGCCAAGTCGAGCACATCTTGAGGATGTGACGGTTGGGCGAGTAGAATGAAAGCTGCCAAACAGGCCTGCAGAGAACAGCCCGTTTTCAAACGCATTTTCGCACACTTTTGCCTCCCCACGGGCTCCTGAAAACGAAGGCAGATTAAAATAAGATTCGACACACAATTTGAGGAACCATTAAAAGAAAAAAAAAACTATTCAATCGACAACACACATACAGTTTGCAACAGAGCACCCGATTTATTCTTCTTTCAACGCAGCGACTCGCTTCATATGAGGTGAACACGACGAAATGAATCCCTTTCTGCGAAGAATGGATCCCCACTGTGATTGCTTTTTCAACAACAGCCATTATTAACCCTTTTGCGAGAGAAAAATCCAAATTCCGAAACAGATAAGTTAGTCACAAGTTCCAGGAATCCCCAGCAAAAATTCACAGAAAGTTCGTTTTATTTCTCCAACTTCTTCCCTGGCCGGTCAATCTCCTGAAAGGGTTAGTCAGCGGGTGGGAAAGCTGAACGGCCTTGACAAGTCCAGGTACAATTCATAAGAAGACAAATCGGATCTACTGTAGAGTACAAGAATCTCTTCGCCACTAGACAAGTACAGGAGGTTTTTTGATCATAAGATTCTTCAACTGCAAATATTGAGCCAGCAATCCAGTAATGGAATGCTGCAATTATTTTTCTCTTTGTCTTCGGCCTCAGTCCAATGGAAGTGCAGGTAGAACCTGACTCTTGCATTCACCAAATCCAACACGGATTCCATCCTTTTCGCACCAACCTGTGAGAAAAACTCGACATGAAATCCAATCATTATTTGAGAGACAATAGAAACATACCTCGAAACACAACTGTGTCCATGTCCTGGACATAAGTTCTGCTCGTTCCATCCTTCATTTGAACAGACTCAGTTCCTCTCCAGGATATTTCCATCATTGAACCATAAGATCCTTTCTCCTAATCATCCAAAACAATAGAAAATTACCCCCTTTTTCCCCATAAAAGGCAATGAAAAAAAAAAGAAGAAGAAACTCACGGGTCCTGAAATGGTTCCAGATGCCATCAAGTCTCCAGGTCTCACGTTACAGCCATTGATAGTATGATGCGCCAATTGTTGTTTTTGAGTCCAATACAGGTGTTTCGCATTGGATCTACTCACTATGGTCGGTTCTTGCTCACTCTCAGCTGCGAACATTTTCAAATCACGATTTAAAATTGGGTTCAAGGAAAAATCACGACATGGAGAAAATCACAGGAGGAAAAATGCAACAGAAACCCCCCATAACATGTAATACAATCATTCGTGCTACATTAGGAAATAACCATACGCATTGAAGGTACCCCAATGCTTGAAAATTGGCCTATTTCCGCTGTTTCATTTTCTGAAACAACAAAAATTCCAACTGAAAAAAAAAGAAATAAAAGATAGCAGCAAGATCAACAGTTCATTTCGGCACTGATCGTGACCCATTTGGCAAATATTGCAAAAACCTCCATTTTCTCTCCCGGTATTTTCTCAGCGCCAAAGAAGTTTTCCCAGCAAACGGAAAAGAATCACTCACGTATGATTCCAACTTCCAAATTGATGTCAAAGGTGCACTTGTCCTCATGTTGCAAATATGGGAAAGGCTTGGGATCTTGCTCAGGATTTTGGGTCGCAAAGGGTTCCAACGCATCCATGGTCACGATCCATGGGGAAATGGTAGTTGAAAAACTCTTGCCCAGAAATGGACCCAGCGGAACATACTCCCAACCTTGAATATCTCTCGCTTGAAAAAAATAAAATAAAAAATCATCAAGGGAAATATACCATCAAGTCAAGTTCAGGATTTACAACTGATGATGAAAGAGTCCTTATTTGAGCCTAACTTGATCTTATTTTTTAATGCATAGGTGTCGCCTGAATGTTGCAAAGTTTTTCCATGCCTTCTTCAAGAACAGTCAAACCTCAAAAAGCCACCATCATTTCTCTGCGAGGTTTGTGAGACTTTAAAGGGGGTTGACGGTTCATCAAATTAACCAAAATAATATGAAAATAAAGTACAGTATAATAAGAAATGCAATTCTTATTCTTCTCGAAAACAATCAAAATGACCCTGGATTACATAATTATACATATGCTAATATTCTTTGGAAGTACAGTGAAGTATGTTATATCACATTTGTGTTTTTATTTTTCATTTGGAGACCTCTCCCAGAAAATTAGATCTTGTTGGCAGGTTATCAAAGACTAAATTAATTTCGCAGGAGAATATTTGAGTTGTCAATAATTTTGGCGGATAGCGTTGAACGGGGTTTCAAATGCCCTTAAAATTCGGGAGGATTTATTTTTCAAAATAAATTGGCGGTAGCCGACGGTGGCGGCTTGCTGGGGATGTCGTGAATGTAAATTCTAACTTTTTCATTACAGCTAAAGCAAGTCACAGTGCTTCGAGTCAGGTTAGGTTGAATCAGAAAAAATCCTTTACAGGGCCGATTAGGGATTAATCAATTACTCACATCTAGAAGACGAAAACTCAATTTCTTGACATCACCTGATTACAGAAAAATACAATCGCCGATCCCACCATGACAAAAAACAATTACGAAAATTAAATTTAACCACTCCTTCAACAAGAAACGAGTCCTCTGAAGCAGACCAGCGAATGGCAACGCATCTATTTTTCAATTCATGCGCGAAGAAGTCATAAAAATTGCTAACATACAGTACTTTCTCGCGAATAAAACAAAAATACACCCTGCTCTATGAAATAAATCCTCACCACTCCAGTCATTCATGAGCACCATGCCAAAGATATGATCCTGAGCCTCGGTGATCGGAATCGGGTTGCCAAGTTGGTTCCCAGGTCCGATGAAAAACGCCATTTCAAGCTCAAAGTCCAACAGATTCGACACCCCGAAAATCGGAGGCTCATCCGGCTTCGGCCGCTTTTGCCCATGAGGACGACGGGTCGGAACCCCACTCACATTGATGGAACTCGCTCTTCCGTGATAACCGACAGGCAAATATTTCCTGAAACCAGTAAGGCATGACGCGTGGAATCAAGCAAAGGGGCCCTCACACAATCTTCAGCGCACCAACACCGACAATAAAAAAAAGAAGAAGCAGAAATCACACCATCTCACCTTCCCACAAGCGAAAGCCCCAACAAATAGCTCGTGACGGTTGTACGGTTGTTTGTGGGTTTTATGTTTGGTTAACCGAACGTCCCGCAACAGAAACGGGGAGTTGTATTAAGGGTTTAACCACCGTACTATTTAACTGCTCATCTTTAGGCACATCAGAGGGATATGCGCAGGGAGATGCATGGTAGCCAGAGATTGATCGACCAAGGCTCTATATAAAACACGGAAAACCCGTCAAGTCTCCACAAATTTTTTTTTTCTTTTTTCCAAACATTTCCAAACTTGCCTTTCAAGTAACTCAGCGTCACCCTGAAGAGTTTGATTGTCCTTCGACAAGAGACTTTGAATAGCTGTCCTCGTTTCTTTCCACGCTGATTTCCCGAGACTCATGAAATGATTCAAACTTTCCTGAGGAAATACGACTGACATATGAGAATAAGTTCATCGCAGTACATGTTATTCCAACAGTACCTCACGCAGAACATTGTGAGCTTGAGACATTATTGGACCGTCGATCAGGTGAGCAACCTCATAAAGATCCAGAATCTTTTCCCCAATAGCAATCTGCCAACATGCCAACAAACACCCAAAATACAAACCAATTGGCTTGCAGGGCGTTGTCTTTGCCCCTCAACATAATTCCCAAATTGGTGGCATGATAAATTGACGAGTAGAAATCCGTGTAGTCTCCTATATGCGCAGGGAGATGCATGGTAGCCAGAGATTGATCGACCAAGGCTCTATATAAAACACGGAAAACCCGTCAAGTTTCCACATTTTTTTTACACATTTCCAAACTCGCCTTTTCAGCAACTCAGCGTCACCCTGAAGAGTTTGATTGTCCTTCGACAAGAGACTTTGAATAGCTGTCCTTGTTTCTTTCCACGCTGATTTCCCGAGACTCATGAAATGATTCAAACTTTCCTAAGGAAATACGACAGACAAATGAGAGATTCAAGTAGCGTCATGTACAATAAGGTTGTCATGGAGTGCGTCTTGTAACACTCGAACTCTGTAATAACCTGGCAGCTAGTCCACTCGTTGGAGTATTTCTAGGTCTTAGAAAAGGGGTTATCGTTCTCCAATATGTTTCTTATCCTGAACAAAAACAGAGAATGAAAATAAAAATTCAATCAAAATTCCTTCTCAAAATAAAGTCAAGCCTTTTCAAGTCAAACTTCAAGGGACCATCAAAAAATTCAATTTGGAGAGACGAGCATTTTGGTTGCGAGAAAGATAGAAAAATTGCAGGAAATTGTAAATGGTGATATTCTGGGCATTACATTTCTTCTTAAATGAGTTGACAGGATGCCGAACTTGCTCAGTTCCCAAAGTAAATGGGTTAGTCAAAAGTTAAGGAAAGATTTACGTAGTTCAATATAAAAATATCTAAAAGACTAAGGGCACCGTTACTTTATTACCGGTTTTTCGAAGGTCTTTTAAAGCTGTCATGGAGGTTCCAGGAGAAGAGCATTTGACTCACGGAGTTTTTTAAAGCATCGATTCAAAAGGAATTCAGACAGGGACTTTAGAAAAAATTTCAAAAAAGTGAGGTATTCGATTTAGAGAGGTAAAACTGAATATCCTCACATCAAAATTATGTCCGACGGAAGTGAATACTCCATACGGCAGGTTGTGGATGGTGAAATCACTGCCTTCCGGCACAGGCACGAAACTTTCCAACATCTTTCTCAATTTTTTGTTCCTTATCTCACAACAGGATTATAAAAAAATATTAATCCCGGCGTATTTCACAGATGCACACAGGACCGATCTGAAACCCTGGAATGGAATTCGAAGCAGCACAGGTGCGATCAACAAGACAAGCCTCCTAGAAGTCAGATTAGCATAACCGGTCTCGGACGCACAAGGGGCGAGTTCACGTCACGACATTCATGAATTCACAATTTAATTCAAGTGGGCGGGCTCAAAAGTTTCGCCTTCATCCTAGAAATTTTCAAAAAATATTCAAGCTTTGCCCTTTGCAAAGCCAGTTTTGAAAGGTGATGGGAAGGGTATTAATGTCACGCACTAAGCTTCATCAGCCATACAGTATTCGAAAGATTTCAGATTTTGCGGCATCATCAAACTTTCTTCGTAACAACTTCATGTAAATTTTTCCATGACGATGTTGAAGACTGTGTTCGGAGTTGGAAACTTATGTTAAGGAGTAAATTTTCTTTTCACTTATAATTCGGACAAAATGGGGGCTTCTTCAAATTTGGGAACTTCAGTCGTGAATTCATCAATGGAACCGCCGAAGTGAACACGCTTCTTCTGAATCCCGTCAAGAAAATCAATTGAATCTCACGAATATTCGCTTCATACTCAAGTCCCTTAAAAAAAGTTTCCTCTTCATAAAATCAACTTTTGAATGCAGCTATTTACATGCAGCGACATCTAGCAAGGCCAGCGCGAAGCTCCGGTCAAGTCAAGGATACACAGCCCACATTTTATGTGGCTGTCGTGGTTTTCGCGACGTCTAGTGGATCAGCGATGATCTTGAATTCTTCGTGAAACGTCGTCAAGGTCATTTGAAGACATTTGCCTCATCACTATGCATCAGAATCACTGTCATGAAAATAGGACTGAAACTGCTCGACGTTCATCTTCGTCAGCTCAGAATCGTCTTCTCTGGGAAAACTGTTTGGTTCTTCTGGTCGCTTTTTCAGGCCGTCTCCATTCCCGCCTTTCTCGTCGAATGTCGCTAGTGACGGAATATGATGTCCTTTTCCAGGCATCCAGTATTCGAAAACCTCGGATGATATCCCGAGTAAAGCCGCATGGCAGAAAAGTATCACAGCAGTCATCACACCACCAACACTCAGGGTATTAAAGCTCAAATTCACCAATCCGGTAAAAAGGTTTGCAACTAGGAAAACGAACATTCCATTCCTGGAAAATTTCCGAAGAAAGGGGCTTGAGGATCCCGAAATTATGCTGCAAGCGGTTTGTATCTGTAAAATTGAAATTTTTTTTCAAGAGTTGCAAATGATTGAGCGCAATTGTTGGCTGGTCAGTCAATCAGCCAGTTTGCTGACAGGACTCTTCACATTTTTTTACTCACAGCTGTTTTCTGCGACACGATTTGCACCGAAATGATTTTGCAGACGCGATTATAAAATATTTCTTCGATCAACAAGCAGATCCGGTAGTGGATGGTATTCGCCAACACCTTAAAAGTAAAAATTCTGTTTGAAATACATTCACGCAAAATTGCGAATAGAATGTGGACCAAAAAGAATTCTTAAAAATTTGATCCTTACCGGCTGAGTCTTTTCCAGAACAACCAGCGAGAAAAAATATATCTAAATCCCTTCAAATACGTATGGTATTTAAAATGATCAACCAATCGTGTATCGGAAAGAATGGATAACACATTTTCATATGCTGAAGATTATTTCGAATCACAATTTTTGAAATCTTTGAAACTTTTGAAATTGTCAACGAGCAAAATCAATCCTATTTCGGACACGGGAATAATTTCTCCCTTCCTAATTTTGTCTCAAGTGTGTGAAAAGGGTAAATTGCAACAGCTTTTTTTTTGCCATCACTTTTTCCAAGTCCTTTTTCATTTCTTCACTCGCAATTTTCCGTACAATAATTTGTCCAACAAAATTCGCCTAGATTGTTTCTCCCACGAGATATTTTCTTTCTCGACATTTCCCCTCAAGACACGTCCTTACCATCCAAAAGAAGTACGCCGAATTCATGAGTCGCCTGGACGGCATGAAATAGCCGAAAATAACATTCGAAGCCAAATGAAGCGCCACAAACTTCTCGCCAAAAGTCAAGGAATTCCTGTACCTAAATTCACCGTCTCAATAAATAAAATAAAAAAATGCATCCGAATGATCAGTAATTCTCACCGTCGCTGACGATTTCGAACCCATTTCCCGAAGTTCACTCCAGCATAATACAAAGCCGCGTAGCCCAAGAATGACACGAAAATCTCTCGGTTCTGACTCACAAAACCGAGTTCTGCCCGATTCAACGGAGCTTCGAGTACCCAGTTTTCAAGTCCGAGTTTGAGACCTAATTCCTGGACCGCAATCAGAACCCACGACAAAAGTTCAGGGGAAGCTTGCCACCGATTCAGCATGGGATCAAAAACTCCGGAAAATAGCTGAAAGAATAACCAATCAAACAAACGGCAATAACTCATTCAGATCAGCGTCAGGCGATTGAATCTAAAATTAAACTCACCCTCAGCCCTGCGAGGACGAAGAAAAAGTTGCCATGAACCCCGTACTCGGTTTGATGCTCTTGATAATTCGTAGATTTCACAGCCAAGACTCGCAGGAGTCCCAAAAGCAAAAAACGAGAACAGCTCTTGAGAACTCGTCGGGTTCTTTCCAAAAGTTGCGGAAAATCTTCAACGCTCGATTCCCTCTGGAATCTTGAAAAGAAACGACAACAGAGCGTCGTTTCAAGTCTTGTTGATTTTTAATTCCGTTTCAACCCTTCTGACTCAAGAACTACTGTACTTTAATCAATAAAAAAAATTNAAACTCACCCTCAGCCCTGCGAGGACGAAGAAAAAGTTGCCATGAACCCCGTACTCGGTTTGATGCTCTTGATAATTCGTAGATTTCACAGCCAAGACTCGCAGGAGTCCCAAAAGCAAAAAACGAGAACAGCTCTTGAGAACTCGTCGGGTTCTTTCCAAAAGTTGGGGAAAATCTTCAACGCTCGATTCCCTCTGGAATCTTGAAAAGAAACAACAACAGAGCGTCGTTTCAAGTCTTGTTGATGTTTAATTCCGTTTCAACCCTTCTGACTCAAGAACTACTGTACTTTAATCAATCAAAAAAATTGTCCGGTGTCCCGGATAAAGGACGGATATCTTGATCGACTTTCGCCGCCACCATTTCTGTGTGGTTTCGGATAGTGGACCCTTGGGATGATAAGACAGGGGATTTTTCTGAGGAAAAAGTTTTTCATCGGGTAATACGAACTTCAGCCTCTATTTCCCAAGTGGATTACAATTTTTAAAATTTCTGAATTGAACAAAAAATGTGTATCTAGTTTCTTAATGCTTTTGTTGCCATTTCTTTTTTTTCTTAAAAAAATCTGATCAGAAATTAATTCCCGATGTCATGAAAGAAATTTTCACGGGATCTGGAAATCATTAGCTTTAGAACGCATCAGATTTCAAGATTAGGTCTTCATAATACTTATTGATTAAAATTTTTTGATACTTAATTTTACACAAAAATCAATCAAGTCCATTATCCGAAACACCACAGAACTGGAGAAACTTTCCTTTGGAAGAATCTGGAAAAAGCTACTTTTAAAATCATTTTGCTTTTACACACATCTTCAAATTCCTTGATCCTTACGATTTTCGGATACCACTCGAAGAAAAAAAGTCCATTAACCAAGACAATACGGAACTGGTGGAAATTCTGCACAAAAAATTAAGCACTAAGAAAAATATAAAAAACACTTACGAAGGCAAATTCCTGGCCCACGGGGAGAACAATCCATTGGCGAAAACAAAGCATCCAACTCCAGCGTCCANCCAAGACAATACGGATCTGGTGGAAATTCTGCACAAAAAATTAAGCACTAAGAAAAATATAAAAAACACTTACGAAGGCAAATTCCTGGCCCACGGGGAGAACAATCCATTGGCGAAAACAAAGCATCCAACTCCAGCGTCCATGAATGCATAGCCAAAGTTTTCAGTTTTCGCTAAAATTCGCGGGAAGGCGCGGAAATCCACGGCTATTTAGTGGTACGTTCACGGTTTGTCGCCGTTAGGCGCAGGTTACACGTCTCGTAACAGGTTTTGCTGCAGCAGGTTTCTGAAGTAGAAGCCAGAGGTTATTTCGGTAAATGGCTACTGATCCTTTTATAGGCAGCAAATCCAGGGTTCTCCAACGATGCACAAAGCTACGATTGGCAAAACAGCGAAGAGGAAGTCCAGAAATTTCAGCCTCCTGGCAAGAAAATCATGTTGGAATTATTTTACGACCTCCTCAAAATGTCTTAGATCGATGAATACTGCTTTACCACGAAAATAAAAACATTATTTCTGATTTTCATAGGGAAAAAGGTTTTTCGGCGAATAAAAGATGTGATGTCACTTGCTTCATAAAATGCCACAAAACTTTTCTACATGCTAGATTGAAATGACATGCATCTTTAAAGGCCAATGACACACCCCCCCTTTTCTTCAGAAAACGATTTTTCATGCACTAGGGCTAATTTAAATTTTCTTCGTGGAGAAAAATATATATTTTTAATTCTTTCAGAAAAATTCTTCCATTTCTACCGTCAATTCCCCAATATGCTGAAGTCAAGCATCAAATATCAAATTGAATCCGAGTAGAAGGAAAATATTAAATAAAACATAACCCGCGAAAATTGGCGGGCAGTTTTTCTCCCTCTGTTCAATTTAACCTTCAACCAAAGATAAATCTATCATTCTCAGTCGAAATAAAACGAAAATGCATTCAAGTTGGCTCACTCAAATTCGCGCGAATAAAAAATTACCGAAAACAATACGTACCAACTATTCGAATGAGGGAAAAGCGCACCGAGAACCGGAAGTACCGCAATGACTCGCATCAAGTGAATCGCAGGCGACAACAACAGGAAACTCTGCGTCGTCACGAACGACGTTCCATTGAGGTTAGCCACAAATTTTTCTTTCTCTAATTTCCAGTCCTCCGTCATTCTGAGAAGAACGCCTGCTTAAGAATTCCCTTAGTAAAAACCGTACTCCACACAATCTGGTCAGTCGAAAATTCCATACTCCCGAAAGAGCCATTGTTTCCACAACAATGGAAATAAAAACGAGCTTTTCAACTGCATCGTAACAAAAGAAATCCGCGTTTTATGATCCAACCTAACGTCAACTCGGTCAAAAAACAATCAATCAGAGCACCCAGCAAAAAACCGTTATCACAAAATCTCAACAGGAAAGTTTGTTGAGTGAGTGCAAACATAACCAAAAAAAAAACATGTATGTGTATGTGTTTGTGAGCCAAAATTGTTCCTTCCAACCATGTTTCGAGTTAGAACCATTTTTTCCAAAAAGTCATCGTCATCACAGCTGCGAAGCATATTTTTTCTCCACTCCTTTGCTCAAAAATTGTTTTTCATAACCGGAACATATCCAGGTAATTCTTGAGAGATTCTGGAAGCGGAAGCTTGTCCAAACAATCCGGAGAAACTGCTTTCCAAATCACGTCCCGACAGGCTGATTGCAATGATGGAACTGTCATCAACAGCAAGAAAACAACAAAAAGCCATCATGACCTCGCTTTGACTGTCAGGGAAATACTTTAAAAGTCAAGTCAATGTGAAGGCATCGAAATAAGATTAAAAATAGATTTCATGAAATTGTCAATGCTCAAGTTTAGATAAATTAAAGATGCAAGGACTCACCAGTGTCCCTTTGAACGATACACACTCTCCTTGTGGCCCCATAAACATCTACCACAGCGTACAGGGGCCCACTCTTGTAGGGGATGCTGGTTGCCATGGGCCCATGTGGGATTCCATTCACCACAAAATGCAGTTCAACACTGTAAATACAGAAGCATCACACCTTGTTTCAACACTCAGTTCTTCTCACTCAAACTTTCAATGTCCACAGTCCCTCAATTTCCTGAACTATCACATATGTGTCACCAAAAGTATTTTTGTGGGAAAATTTTGAGAAACTTGTGAATAATGACAAGCAGCAAATGAAGCTTGTGTATCAATCAGTCAATCAATAAATAATCATCAAGAAAATACAGTACTGATGCAGGAAAAAAATGGATGTACATACAAGAGAGATACATGTAGACTCCTTCTAAAACAATCTTGTTCTTTTGGTCCATGGGATTTTCCAATCCCATCTTACAGGGTTTCCTCACAACAAAATAATCTCTAATGGATTTTCTCTGGCCCCTCCAATTTTCTTCTTGAGAGTTCCAGAGACCAAAACTGGGGTCCAGGTTTTACGCAGCAATGGGGGCTTTTTTGGTGTGTGTGACACATTCATCAGAGAAAAGTGGGGTGCGTGTGGAACTTGAGGAAATACAGTATTCTTGAAAATAATTTTTTTAATTGAATCGAGCTTCATCAAAACAGTTTCGCCAGGAATAATAGAATCAATTAAATAAGAGAAGATAATTTTAAAATAAATTCTTCACAGAAAAAAAACAAAATCAAAATTGAGGTGCGTGTGGTACTTGAGTAAATACAGTATCCTTGACAAGTCTTGAATTGAATCAAGCTTCGAGAAAATTTCGCCACAAAAATTACAATCAATGGAACCCCAAAAAGGGATTTTTTGATAAATTCATAAAAAAAAAAAGAATGGGGTGAGTGTTTTACTACAGTAAATACAGCGTTATTGACGAGTCTTGAATTAAATCAAGCTTCTTCATGACAAGTTTCGCCAAGAAAAATCCTCGGACCAATGGAACCCCAAAATTGGTTTTGTTTTACAAATTCTTCAAAAAGGGGGGTTGTATTTGAGTAAATACAGCATTCTTGAATTGAATAAAGCTTCATCAAAACAGTCTTGCTAAGGGTTAAAAAAAAATTATGATCAATTGAAACTAAAAAAAAAAAAAAAAAAAATCACCTGGCCTCTTCACCAGCCGGCGCCTCCGTGACAAGAATCATGCCCAACCGACTGCCCACTTCCGCCGGCAACAACTCCCTGTCCCCAGACCTCGGAAACAGCAAGTCCACGTCGATACTCGTCCGATTCCGTGCCAGAATCTCCCTCAGCTTCCCACCGTCCGTTCGACCCCGTTCCACGTGGCATCCGTCAACCGGAAACACCCAGGAATTGCCATTTGTCATGGCCAGCGACGCATCCGGCAACGGAGCACGCAAATGGGGGTCGCTCTGAGTGACGCCCAGTCGCAGGTTCCCACTCCAACCAGCTTCGCTGCCTTGCACCTCGATGAGAAAGACTTCTCCGGCTGCCAGGGGCTTCGCACTGAAGGCCAGTCCTCCAGAGTAGCCACTCTTGCGAAAGGCGACGGTTTCCTCGCTGTTCAACACCAAGTTATCGCCGTGATGCTTGTGGAACTTTTGAATCTGCCGCCGTCGACACTCACACAACCAACCATCGACACTCGACGGCATCCTGCAACGAAAAAAAGGAACGAAAGCCTGATCACACAACTAAGAAAACACGTAACCCAACTTTTCTTCCTTCAAGAAGACCAAAAAAACAGAACCAACAAACGAAACCCATTGAAGCATTCAATATATATTTTCGATTGATCTCAATATGAACCCAGAGAATAAGAAGAGGGAACCTCGGATATATTTATTGCGTTACTTGCCATTTGGTTGCAATCCGCGTGATAGGAATCCAAGCAAGTAACGTGAAACACCCAACAGAATGAACCACTTTCACAGTGCACACAAGAAGCAGGAAAGGAAAACAATTTGCTTGTTTCTTCTCCCCTAGAATGCAATATGCATCACAGCAAGCTTCTCTGGTGCCAGGACTCGGAGAAGTCTTGGAACCCATTCGAACCCAACACAAAACATCAAATGGGAGCTTTTTTCCATGTTGCGAAAAAGAGAGAGAGAGCTGGTCAATGAAAAAAAATAAAATAAAACCCACAGCCAACATGGCTCATTGCTAGCTTCTTCCAGAGGTAGTGACTAGCTCATTCTGCTCCCAGCAAACAAAACATAAATCCAACTGGGACTGGTTCACATCAACTCAAGGCTCTTTCTGTCTCAAGTCCAACAAAAGAAGAATGGCTTCTGCATGTTCCAAGCGTTTCCTGTCACAAATGGATTACCAACAGACAACTTATTCAACGAGGAAATGCATCTTCGAAAAGGTAATTTTGATACTTTTTTTCTTTCTTTAAATCATACCACCATTCGTCACGTTTAGCTGCGTCACGCAGGTGTCGCTTCTCCAACAGAAGCATCTCAACCCAACGTGGATTAATAATGAAATTCAGGCGACACCTATGCCATACAGAGAAAAATCAAGGACTTGTAGGGACATAATTTCAGTCCATCATACGGAGGGTACAGACATGGAACAAAATAAGTTGGTGCTTATCTTATCCCAAGACGAATATTTTCTCGTCTCAATTTGCCCTTCCGACTTTCTCAGGGTTTCCCTTGACATTTAAAAAAAAAAAAAAACGCATTCTCGGATTGGCCAGGAAATGCTTCGAACAAAAAAAATTACGGTTAATTCAACGTTTTTCTTCTTTGAAGGACGAACAGTGAAGAAACAAATTTTTCTTTCAAGAGACGAGCGAAGCATGCTGTAATAATCGTTGCCATATCACTACCCCGCCAAAGGCAGACCGCAAAAAACCCCACCAAACGCATTAAAACCTCGGCCAATATACGCCATTCTTCAGGACGGGATCACGGAATTCTCAACTAGAAAAATAAGCTACACACCCTTCGAATCCAAATCAATTCCGTTTCGCGACACAAAAACAAAAAAATTCGATACAAAAATAGCCCCACATACACACTCTTTTTGCAGCTAAAGAATGAAAAAAATGCACGATTTCTCTCCAGGAAATAATGAATCTAGCTTCAGATTACACAATGATCGGATGTGCCAATAATATAAAAAAAAAGCGGACGTCGGATTCCGCAGCTCCGGTACCCTTCGCAATTTTTTCCGGCCGCAACGATAAAAAAGAAGCCAAAATTCGCCGGTTTTACGGATTCGCACCACATCCACGTCTCAAACGACATTTTTTCTTCCAAAAAACTCACCAAAAAAGGTAGACCAATCGGCCAGAGGAATCTTCTTCTATCACACCCGAGTAAAATGTGAGGGGGAAGGGGGAGGCGAAAAAAAAATGGGGGTTTAAAAATCACTCTTGACCGAATCCTTCGGTCTCTTCAATTGCGAAAGTCAGCTTTTCGCAGAGCTGCTCGTAGCTCTTGTACGGAGGCAAGTCTAGTCGGTTGAAGCACGTGTGTGAACGAGGCAACCACGTTTCTTTCCCCACCTTCTCGATGCAAAACCGCTGTGCGCCATTTGTATTGCTCCCTGAATTTAAAGAAGAACACACAAAAACCATTTCGTGGGATTAAGAATTCTTGACATTTTCATAACGCTTCAAACTCACCCATCAACTCGGCAAAGCCGCCGATTGGCACTCGACAGGTTCCAGTAACAAACTGCAGCAGACGAGCTCGTTTCTCGTTATCCAGCTCTCTCACAAACTAATGCAACCAAATATTTAAAAAATTATTTCAAAATCCCGTCATTACATTTATTTTCCATTGCAAATTTGTTTTAAAAAATTTTGAAGACCAGCGCAAAAAGTTGGAGGGAAATTTCAATTTTCAGGTCGTCCCAATTTACTTTCACTCAGAATTTAAAGCAAAAATAAAAACGATCCAACAGCTGAGTCATTCCGAAGGATCGTCGAGATTTTTTCCTATGTCCCCACCCATCTAAAAACCTTCCAAATAAAATAAAAAAATTTTATGGACCCGCATCAACTATTCTATTAATGCTCAATTTTTAAAACAATGATCTTGCCAGATTTCAGTATAACAAAAAAATATTATCATATCAACCAAAACGTTTAAAATCAACGTTCCTAAACCATCAACGGTTTCCAACCAGCACTGAAGGGTCAGAAAATCGAATTCAAGGCCCAAGAGGCGGAAAAAAAAAATTAGCATCTCAGGAGAGAAATTGTTTATTTCTCAAATTAGAACAAAAGGAGAATGTGCTCAGAAATTGTCGAACGACCAGTGATGGATTTGAGCTGAACTCGATGCAGAAGTTTGACACTCTCGCAAGAACAAAAAATTATCGTAAATGCCTTTACAAGAGCCGCCATTACATTGAAAACTTCACTGGAACCTTTTCCACCGCACAATAACATTTATCTACACCCCAAACTTCTCATAAACAGATGATCATGATGATTCGAATCAAACAAAAACAGTCTCACCTGCCAGAACCAAACGACTTGCTTCGAGTTCTTGTTGTAGTGTCGATAGAGAGTATTTCGTTGCCAGTCGTCAATGTCGATCTCTTGCATTCCGCACAACATCAACTCGAGTTCTCGCTCGTCGAAATACTGCAACCATTCCAACGGCACCACTTCGCTAAAGCCGTCCAAGAAAGCCTTCGTCTGGTCTTCTTGTCCTCTCGTCATTCTCCATTCCATCATCAACCTTCAACGAAACATCCCACATTTCTTACTATGTCAAATTTTCATTTAAAACGAATTATAACGCGTAATCTTCGGATTTTATCGAATTGCACTACTCACGAATTAATAACACGAAGGAATTCAGAGATTACGGCAATGTGTAGAAAAATTGAATTCCCCCACGTTATTTACAAAAAATTCTCTGAAACATGGAAAATTTTGCATTCTGCACCAAGTGCTCCAAGATCAATTGGAAGGCGCACGTCACTATAACATTTAAAAAACCCCGAAAAATTCCCCAGTAGGAATATTCTTTTCAAACGGGCGTGTTGGTGATGAACACTTACGACACGAAAAACAAAATTGAATATCATTTAAAATAAGCTCAATTTGATCATTGCACAAAGAGAAAAAAATGAAATAATCGTCAGCATTGGAGAATAAAATCGACGCCTTTGCAGGCATGATAAAATACGGAGTTCGCTATTTAGTACAGCTAGAAGTACAGTATTCATAGAGTAATCTTAAAATCTTCCAAAAAAGAAAATTGAACGTTCCTCACCGAACATATTCTTCCTTGTTCGTCTCAGTCACTTTAACATCCGCTCCTCCGGGTTTCAAGTCGTGCTGTTTCAACTCTCCCAACTGCTCGTAGTCGGTGGAAAAGAACAACTCGAGTCCACATTCGTCAATATCGTTATCCTTGATCCACATGAGCGAATTGTAGAACTCGGGATCGATGGACTCCAAGTCCCTCATTGTGAGCCTCTTATTCAACATCCGCTTGTAGAACGGCAACGTGAAGCCAGAGTAAATGAAGCAGCCGTGGTACAAAGCCTATTGAAAACCGAAATAAAGATGCATTCAAAAAATGTATACGCTTTACAGGGATTTGAACACGAGGGTTTTCACCATGGCGATGAATCGGCCGATGAATCTGAAGTACAGCAAATGATCCGGATTCACGCTCGATGCCGGATTAATTTGTAGGGAATAATTGTTCTTATTCGCGTATTCGAATAAACAATACATCGGATTCAGGACCTCGTGCGACAACAAAAGGAACCACTCCCTGCAAAAAACAGAAAGAAACCCGAAATTAAAAATGAAACAATTCACAGGCACAAAAATCGGGACCCACCCCAAAAATTTGGAATTTCATTTTATTTTCTAGTCTTCTTTCAAACTCTATGAACTGCATTTTTTTCATGATAGTTTTTTGCATTTTTATTGAGCATAAGTTTTCCCCGGAAATTACCATTCTTCGAAGTACTGCGCAAATATTAAATGAATAAATTCCCGCAAAAAAATCAGGTGCAATATGAAATTATTGTTTCTTTTCTAGACTTTTTAAAGAAAAGAAAATTAGCTCCTCTTCTCAGTAAATTTTCAAACTCTTGGAACTGCATTTTTAACGAACAATTGGCAGTTTTTGGATTACGCAAATTTTCTCCATTATCCAAAATTGGCAAATTGATTATATTTATTAGATTCTTATGTCACCTGGCCAATCCGCCGTAATCCAGCCCTTCTTCCTCGCGGAAAATGACGTACAACCGACGACGAAGCTCGAACGCCTGCGACCGCATCACTTGATGGAACGAGTCTTCAAACAATGTCTGACGATTCACATGAATTTTGATGTGACCCAGGACAATGTTCGACTGGCACAGGTACCGAAACTGACCCAGTTTCCACCGGAACGAACGATCATAACCCATTGGGACTCCATAACCCGCGACTCCACTGAAATGAGGAGATGAAACGGATCACTTTCAACAACGGTGATTACTTCCGACGAATTCATCGATTTTTTAATAGCGCAGATGAAGCAGAAGAGTTGAAACATAATTCCACGATTATCCAAACTAATGAATTTTTCCATCCTCATCAAGCATCACGGATAATGCGGACAAGAAAAAAAGTTACAAAACTTCAAATAAATTATGACCGAAAATCGCAGAAATTCCGATAATTGGTCACGGAAAAAAACCAATTAAAATCTTTGAGATAGCCTTCCCTATTCAATCCATGGAAATTTTCGGATTCTATGTATTTTCGCTCTCACACACGTCCCGAATATTAATTTTTCTCATCACGCCGGTGTCGCCTGAATTTCGCTATACTTCGGAAAGACTACTTCGAAATTCACGTTCGTATAAATTAATTTTAGTTAAACCAGTTAATTGTTAATTCAGGCGACTACTTCCAAGCATCGCAGAAAAGCCGGTTTGGCCAAGTAAGAGAGTGGACCACTCACCCTTTGGGATAACCAGGTCGGGGGTCTTGAAACGTCGTAGTCCTAGTGTTGTGATCGACGAAGTAACGAACACTTTCGCTGGTTATTCGCATTTCCCAACCAGGTGGCAACGGATCTTCCTGGTTCATCATTCTAACATCAACAAGAAAACGAAGTTACAGCGTCAGTTTCCGGTCTTATTTTTAATATTTTAAATTTTACCCTTGAGTCCTAGGATCTTCCCATTGAGTTGTTCGATTCTTGTGATTCACGAAATAGACTCGTCCGTTGTCTGTCCGACGCTCCCAGCCAACGGGAAGTGCCCCACGTCCGTCGTCTTCTTCATCGTTTCCAGACACATTTTGGTGCTACAGAACAGGAAAGAAGAAGAAACGAAGTGAATTTATTTTTCCCTCATATCTTGTCATTCATCAAGACGATACAGTAAGGCCCGTACATATGGTCAATTCAAGTTAGGGACACTTGAAACTCAACCCATCTTAAATCAAGTCAAATTCATAATTCAGAACAGGCTGAATTTGCGCTTCTTTTTCTATGGTATTCCATTTTCTTTGCGAAGCATAGTAAGAATTGCGCTTGCTCTTTTTTTCTTCGGGCTCCTTTTCATGCTAAAAGATCCGATTATTTAGGTTATTTTCTGGATCTTGACGTTGATACACTTTTCTTCCAATGTTTTGCGAACCTCTTTAAACAAGCGAACCAATTAAATGGGTTCCGTAGACTTCATGACGTCACGTGAGTTTCAATTTTGGTCAGTTCAGACTTGCGTTAGAGATTCAAGCCGCTGCCTAACACTCCAAAAATATAGGTAATAAAACTAAATATAATTCCACCAACTTTCAAAATCCACTAAAATTCGAAAGATAAAAAACAACTATCGTCCAGGAATAATGTTTCCTTTTCTCCATTTCTTCTTCGAAATACTGGCGAAAAAAAAAAGTTTGAAAAGCTGGATCGAAGCGTTATCCAGTTACCGTAAATAACCTTGCCTCACGTTAGCAATTGATTGAAATAGGAAATCTAAAAATACAGCACAAAATAAAAAACAAATTGATGAAAAAATAACGTACCGGATACAAGAACCGTTGAGCGCCTTGTTCCACCACCATGGATCGCTCGCCCTGCCACTGGTGGTAGCGGGACAGAGATTCCGGGTTGGGACGTTGCCAGGTAGTCGTCCTGGTATTGTGGTCAACATAGTAGATCCTACCTCTGGGATCCCGTCGCATGTCCCAGCCTCGGGGCAAGGGCGCCGGTCGCTCCCACGTCGTGCTCTTGGTGTTGTGGTCCACGTAATACCGTCGACCCAATCGATCATAACGCATCTCCCACCTTTGAAAAAAAAAAAAAAAAAGTGAAGTGAATTTCGCTCCGATTTTTTTCAGGAGCATGAACTTTCTTCAATTACAGTCAAACCTCTTTATAACGCCCACCAAAGACCCGCCAAAAATTGGTGATGAACTAATCTTCCTCATGTTAGAAACATGGGAAACCTCGTTAGGGCACCATACGCTAACATTCTTTGTCAAAGAAAAATACTCTTTGGTATTAATTCCGTCTCCGATACCCCAAAAAAATCAAAATTTCAAAAACATTGCGAATGTCCCCATCAAACATGGTTCTAAAATATCATATCGACTCAAAATCGCATCGCTCATAATACAGTATTACAATTTCTTTACCCTGGAGGAAGAGGCTCATTATCACGCTGAGGTTGTCCCGCAGGCGGCACTCTGGAACCAGCTGGCCCTTGTCGACGAGGCGGCACTGGTTGGCTGGCCGTCGACGAACTGGGCGTCCGACTCGAATTCCCGGCAACCCCGCGGTGTTGTTCGTCCGCGGGTACCGCGACACCCGCTACACCGTTCTGGCTTTCTAAACCATTACTGTTGCTCACTATGTTTCCGTCCCGGGAAACCCCAACTGGTTGCACACTTGACGACGACGTTGTTGTTGTCGCTGTTTCCCCGCCGTGCTCATCCACGGTGATCGAAACAGATGCGCTCGGCTCTGGCAGTTCCGTAGGGTTTTCTGATGATGAACATAAAAAATTAGCTTAATAAACAAATAATCAGCATCATACATTTTTTTATTGGAAACTGAATCCGCGTTTCGACAACAAGAAAATGAAAATTAAATCGAGTACTTAAACACATGGCTTTTCAATTCGCATTCGACAAACAATCGTCACACATTCCATCACAATTCAAAATAACAGATGGTTATGTATTATGCTATGTGATTGAGTAACGAAAAGCAGAACAAATTGAATGTAACCAGACTAAAGCGACATCTCTGCAACGGTTAAGAAAATACAGCTTTCAAGCGTGCAGTCTGTCTACCAGACCAGACCGTGCATATTCTAAAGAAGCACCTTAAAGGTAAAACAAACTATCCGATTCATTTGAAAGTGGCTCTTCAGTTTATAAAAGTGATCGTCCAAATTTCCGAAAAACCTCCACAAAGCCAGTAGAGTACTACAGTTTAACCTCGATACAATAACTTGAACCTCTTAACGTTGAATTTCTTCCAAGCCCCTGTCTGTATTTCCCCAGAAACAATGCATTAAAAACCTCCCCAACTCTTTCGTTCCCTCTCAAAACTTCCAAAATTAAAGTATTTTATAAATACAGGAAAGAGAAAAGCAATAAAAAGCGTAACTTGTCGTGTTTTCAAAGGAAGTGAAAGAAAAATTGGGAAAATGAACCGCTGCCTTCAACTTCAGCATCCTTGCATCTCAATCAAAAAGCAATTTAGTGTCCAGAACATCACCAATTACAATTTCCTGTAATTCTGTCTTTTCTCGACAAGCAAGAACGCTTGTTTCTCTAACTCAACACCTCCCCAACTCAGATATTTGTTCGTCTCTTAAACTTAAAGGTTCTGCTACACTGTATAACTCTACTCGTTTCATATCATAATTT